TCAGCATTTTATGATTGTAAACGTTCATCATCCAACATTCAGCGTGTCCATATTCAAGTGACATACGCAATATCATCTCACACCAACACATCACCCATCATGTCATCCACGATCTGCAAAAGTCAGCCACTCATCCCCAACCAACATGATTCGCCACTAACAACCCTCAAGAAAGCATCGACAGCACAATGTCGCACTTCACCCTAAGCATGGGCCAAGCCTCCGTCCAGAACAACGTCTCCATGTGGACGACCCTCTCCCAGTGCTACGACGAGATCGCAAAGACCTTCGCCCTCCAGGACCCAGACTCCATCATCACAAACCCCGCCAGCATCTCCGCCGTCGTGCACGCGACCTTCGACCACGACGCCCACCAGCTCATCGAGCAGGGCCACTCCTCCATGCTCCACGGCATCGACGACGTCACCAAGGCGCACATGCTCGCCCAGGCCGTCGCCGGCATGGTCGCCTTCTTCCGCAAGCTGGCCACGCACCATGAGCACGGCCCCGTGACGCAGGCCACCTTCGACCGCGACGTGCGGCGCTTCGCCGAGTGCGAGCTGCGCGCCGCCATGATCCGAAAGATCGAGGAGAGCCGCATCTTTGGCCGGTGCTACACCAAGAGCCAGATCGCGGATCTCATCATGGACGCCGTCGAGGGCAAGGTCAATGACGCCGAGTTTGTGAGCGAGGACGAGTACCAGAACGCCATCGGCTGGGCCACGGAGCTGCCGGCGAGGAATATGGGCTTGCCGTGGGGGTTCACCATCATGGCGTTGAACTGAGGAGGAAAGAGGGGGGATGTAATGACCATTTGATTCTTTTCATGACGAGCCGGGGATGGATTTGGGACCGAGTCGGCATTCATCGGCGGGGACCATCATGGGGAAAAAGGGGGCGCATCAGCCAGGCGTTTCTGGGAGCTTCGTGATCGGAGCGGAGCATTGCTGGGTATAATTCATAGTCCTAGTAGCTTTTTTGTTTTATGTGTCGTTATATGTATCACCACTCATGCCACACCTGACTTTTTTCCCGTCATTCGTGCATCACTTCTTCGGCGCCGCCGCGGCCTGCGCGCTGGTTTGCAGCTGGATGATGTCGCCCTTCTTCTTCTCAAGCTTTCCCTGAACGTCCCTGATCTGGCCCTCATGCCTCTCGCTGTAGAAGTTAGTGAGCAAGCCGTCCGAGAGAATGGCAGATTGTGATGCACGTACATCTCCTTGGTGATGAAATCCAGACGACCCTTGACAGTGCTCTCGGCCTCCACCTTGTCTTGCTTCAGCAGCACGGGGCCGACGAGCTTGTAAATCTGCTCGCCGTCCTTGAGGTTGTCGAACTCCTGCAAGGCATCAGTCTTGCGCTCATCCGTCTGTGGTAGGTGCAGGATGAAAACTCACCTCTTTCACGCCGAGGTTCTCCTGCTTCTGAGCTTCGAGTTTTTGCCGCGCCTGGACGGTGGTTTGAAGTTCTGCAGGCAATTAGTAAAACCCCTTAACGCATAATGAGATTGATTGAGACATACCATTTTGGAGAGCAGTGTACTCTTCAGAGAGCTTTTGCAGCTTGGCCTGAACCTCAGCCATGGTGGGTGAGTTGTGTGCGTGTGTATGAGGGGTTCAGTGAGAAAAAAGTCCGTTTAGTGCGGACTGGGGTGCGGTGAGAAACCCGACGGCCTTCCGATGCAGTGGTTCGCGAGTTGGGATGTTTGGTGGAATGTCAGATGTCCTGTGGTGCCAAGGACTCAAGAGGTTTTCGCCGTTTCGAGTTTCGTTTGGTGGTCTGAAGACGATACCTGGTACTTTGATGCTGCCGTTTGCTGCGCTAGGGAACGTGGTGGTGACAGACTGTGATGCTCTTTAGATGCATATGGCCCCGGTTTGTGAGTATCGGCGGCCGCGAGCCTGGAACATGGAAAGAGACACACCGAGTCTTCAACTTGTCGTTGTCTAGCTTTCTTGGAATACATTTCAGTTTTCTCTAAGCGTTTTAACATCTGTCTAATGCCAGAACAGAAACCAGTCATCAAGCTGACTGCTGCCTACATAGAACGCCTCAGAAGGAGATCGCACTAAGCAGCCTCCATCACCCAATCCAGCATATGCACCTATACACCTCAAGGCCCCCACCCCCACCAGCCAACAAGGCACCTTTAGCGTCAGTGTCTGGCATCACGAACCGCCCAGGCAACGTCACAGAATCGCCCGCATCAGCGTCCTCAATCCCTCAACCGCACCCCGACAAGCCAGTGCCAAGCGCCGACGCAATCCTCCCCCCGGGGCCAAATCGAACATCCACCCCGTCTACCTACCCAACCCCATCCCGACTGCGAAGCGTCCCCTCCAAACGGGAACAAGACAGCGCGGCGGCTGCACACAACAAGCTTCCCCGCTCTTTGCATCCTTATCACGAATCGCTCGCAAACTCGCCGCCCAACGCAGGAACACGCAATCCCGCCGACGACAGCGACTCCGACGCAGAACCGCAACCATGTCGGGCATCACCGACTTCCTCGGCCGTGCCATCAGCACGGTCAAGCAGGCCATCGACGCCGACAACGCCGCCGAGTACGAAAAGGCCTTCCAGCTCTACACAAAGTCCCTCGAGCTCTTCGTCCTCGCCGTCAAATGGGAGAAGAACCCCAAGTCGAAGGAGCTCATCCGCCAAAAGACGGCCGAGTACATGGACCGCGCCGAGAAGCTCAAGACGTACCTGGCCGAGGCCGAGCAGAAGAAGAGCGGGGGAGGCGGCGGCGGGAAGCCTGGGGCCATGGGCGTTAACGGCGGCGGCAAGGGCAAGGCGAACGCCGACGAGGGCGACGAGGATAACAAGAAGCTGCGCAACGCCCTCAGCGGCGCCATCCTCCAGGAGCGCCCCAACGTGCGGTGGGACGACGTCGCCGGTCTCGAGGGCGCCAAGGATACGCTCAAGGAGGCCGTTGTGCTGCCCATCAAGTTCCCCTCGCTGTTCCAGGGCAAGCGCCAGGCGTGGAAGGGTATCCTGCTGTACGGCCCACCGGGAACGGGAAAGAGTTACTTGGCTAAGGCGGTCGCAACGGAGGCGAACAGTACCTTCTTCAGCGTGAGCAGTTCGGACCTGGTGAGCAAGTGGATGGGAGAGAGTGAAAGGTGAGTTGCTTCGTGGCATAGCAATCTTCAACGACTGACACCCGGTGACACAGGCTCGTGAAGGCTCTGTTCAGCATGGCGAGAGAAAACAAGCCCTCGGTCCTCTTCATCGACGAGATCGACGCCCTGTGCGGGCCGCGTGGCGAGGGCGAGTCCGAGGCGTCGAGGCGTATCAAGACGGAGCTGCTGGTGCAGATGGACGGTGTCGGAAACGATAGCAAGGGCATCCTGGTGCTCGGCGCGACCAACATCCCCTGGCAGCTCGACGCCGCGATCCGAAGACGTTTCCAGCGCCGCGTGCACATCGGCCTGCCTGACGCCAATGGCCGCGCGAGGATGTTCAAGCTCGCCATCGGCGACACGGAGACGAACCTGCAGGCGGACGACTACCGCGTGCTCGCGGAGATGTCGGATGGTTTCTCGGGCAGTGATATCTCCAATGTGGTGCAGCAGGCGTTGATGGGTCCCGTGAGGAAGATCATCCAGGCGACGCATTTCAAGCCGGTATGTTTACGCTGTCGTGACGTTATACGCTAGATTGCTTGCGAGGAACTTTTGCTAATTCGCATTTCAGGTCATGGTCGACGGCGTCAGGAAACTCACGCCCTGCTCCCCCGGCGACCCCGAGGCCAAGGAGATGACGTACCACGACGTCGACTCGGAGGAGCTCATGGCGCCCATCATCGAGCTCAAAGACTTCAAGCAGGCTCTCAAGGAGTCGCATCCCACCGTCTCCGACGACGACGCGGCCAAGCAAATAGAGTGGACCAACGAGTTTGGCAGCGAAGGCGCATGAGCTAGCGAAACGCCTATTACACGTCGGTTGTGGGGGTGGAAGCTGGACGCGAAAAAAGACGACTACAGTGTGAACGCTTCGACGAGAAGACATTGCTCGTGTTTTTGAAAGAGAGGAAAGAGACTGGCACAGAGAATATCAGACTCGACGGGCGGCGGAGGCGGGAAATTCGGTATTGATGCAGATAGTGTGTGATGTGTGGCTGTCGTCAGTTCAAGGGGGCAGGCGAGCAGGACCAGGCGACGGGCGGGAAGAAATCGGCGTCCTCTGGCGTTTTGTAAACGACCGGCATTGGGTTGGGGAAACTTATTCTATTATTGTTTTTTACTACTACTGTTCTGTTCTGTTCTGTTTCCAAATATCTGCATCGCAGGCTTCCCTATTCTTTAAAGCGTAAAAAAGTGGTAGCCAGCAAAGACAGAGAGAAGGCTTCTCTCCCCTTTTTACAGAACTTCTCCAAATCACAAGATACAAATTACTTGGGTTGAAAATGCCATTGTGTTTGAATCTGAAAGTTGTAAGATGGTAATTGATGCATGAGAGGTCCCTCGGCTTATTCAGTCCACAAACACATAGAGCTGCTCATCAGACAGACGGCATCCACTTTTCACACTCGCAGCAAATTCAAACACCATCACTAACGGGGCGCGGCGGAGCATTCGGGAACGGGTAAAGATCTGGTGTTACACATACACATACATCATATATATGCATTAAACATCTTTTTTTCTCTTTCTCTTTTTCGCATCTGCGCAGCCTAAACAAACTCCGACAAGCCCAATGTTCATTGCCCTGATAACTCCCAAACAGAAAAGGTAGGAAAAAAGTAAAAGAGAAGACAGGATGGTGGAGAAGAAGCCAAGTCCCAATGCCGTGAGGAAAAAACCTATGTGCCGCCGTAAGTTTTTTTGTAACATGAGGTTTCTTTTTGTTGACCTAGGGGAGGAAAAGATGGGAAGATTCTTTTGTAGAACATGTCGTTCAAGGGGTCTGGGGAAGAGACCCTCCTTGGAGCAAACCCATTGCGCGCAGAAAAAGGGGGTATTTTGCGCGGCAGCGATGGCGATTCGTCTCTTCCTTTACTCGTCCTTGGACTTCTTCTTCTTCTTCTTCTTCTTTTCCCCGTCGGCCTTTTCGGGCTCTTCTTCGACGGCTGGGGCGACCTCGGAGTCGCGCTTGCGCTTCTTCTCCTTCTTCTCCTTCTTGTCCTTGGACTTTTCCTTCTTGTCCTTCTTCTCCTTCTTGACCTCCTCGGCGGCGGCGTCGACCATTTCCGCGTCGTCGAGGTCGAGGTCGCCTTCGACCTGCTCGAGGACGGAGGCCTGAGCGCGGTTTGGGTTAGCTGCGTTCTGCTGGAGGATAAGGGGGTAAAGACATACCATCACGTCGGCGTTCTTGGCGGGCTTCTTGCCGGTGGCGTAGAACTCGAGACGATCCTCGACCTGCTGGCGCAGGGCCTCGCCGAACTTGGTGGTGGGGTTCTCGGTGTAGTTGTCGATGCGGGAGGCGATGGAGCACTTGTTGGCGAGGTAGCGGGAGATGCGGCCCTTGTTCTTGACGGAGGCCTTGCCGATGAAGCTGGAGTGGTAGATGAGGCCGTACTTGGGGGTGTTGCTCTTGGTCTTGAGCGCGCGGAAGAGGGCCTTCTCGGCGCCGAGGATCTGCAGCGTGGAGGCCGGGTACTTTGACAGCGCGGTGAGGGAGCCCGCGTGGGAGATGAGGCGGGCGGCGACGGGGGTGCCGATGAGGGTCTGCAGGTTGGGCGCGACGACGGACATCTTCTTGTCGAGGTAGTTTGCGGTGGCGCGGCGGGCCTCGGCCTGCTGGACGACGGCCTCGGCGAAGCCCTTGACGATCTCGAGGTCGGCGGGGGTGATGGCGAGACCCATGGAGACCTTTGCGGCGTCGATGATGGCCTGGGCCTTCTCGCCGTCCTCCTCGACGACGGCGGCGATGTCGTGGAGGCGGTCGTCGTTGAGGGTGGACTTGTCGCCGATGAGGAGGACGAGCTTGGCGTAGGTGAGGTTGTCGGAGACGATCTTGACGAGCTCGGGGAAGTGCCAGCCGTACCACTCGCGGACGCGCATGAAGAACTGGTTGACGCCCTTGTCCTGGAACTCGACGGTGGCGGAGGCCTGGATGACGTGGTTGTCGTTCTTGGTGGTGCTGAACTTGACCTTTGCGCGGGAGTAGGAGTGGCCGAGACCGAGGCCGGCGGCGGTGGAGTCGCCGGTCTGGAGGCCCTTGAGGAGCTTGTCGGCGTGCAGGCGGACGCCGCGGAGGAGGTCGCCGGCGACCTCTGAGGTCTCGGAGGTTTCGCAGTCGACGCCGGGGAAGGTGGACTTGATCACGGACGCGAGGTTCTTCTCGGCCACGGCGAGAGTGACCTTGGACTTCTTGCCAGAGGTCTGGGGCAGGTTGAGCTCGAGGACGGACTTGAGGTGGACGGACATGAGACCCTCGGAGATGTGGTTGATCTCGTCCAGCGCTTGCTTTCCGGTGCTGGTGGGAACACGTGTGTTAGCCTTTTGGGTCTCTCTGGAAGTCTTGTCTCTCCACCGAGACGCGCCGCGGTGGGGGAAAAAAGAGCATGATGCTACACGCGCGCGAAGGGGGTTCCGTACTCAAAGGGGGTGAAGTTGACGAGCTTGACCATCTTGCCGAAGCGGGCGAGGTCATTGATGGTCTCCTGGGCCTCCTTCTGGCGCAGGCCAATGCTGTCGGGCTGGTTCTCGACGTGGAACACGCCGTAGCCCATGGGGGCCTCATAGAGGAGGTAGTTGACGGCTTGGGCCATGTTTGCTGTTCTGTCTCAAGCACTCTTTTGTGGTTTGAATGTCGTTCGAAGCCGACAGGAAAGAGCCTCGCGCGCGGGGGGTGTGGAGGCGGAGGAGGGGAGGTGGAATTGGGCGTCTCGAGACAGAGGAAATCGAGATGTTCGAGATGGTCGGATTTTTTTTCTTCAATTTTTCCTCACCCCCACTGGGTTCAATTGGAAATTTTTCTGGAGCTCGCAAAAGCTGGCGCACGGGCCAGTCTGCCGTCGGTGTGGAAGGCTGGAGGCGGTCACGTGTCCCGGCGCAGGCTGAGGCCGGTTGCCGACGTGGGGTCAGTCGCGTGTGGCGGTGGCTGCGGTTGAGGACCTTGTGGCTTTGCTGTCGAAGTGAGTTGAGTTGGCTGGCTTGGGATGGCAGTTTGGCAGGACCAATGCCATGAGACGATCGCACTACATCTTCGGGAGACATCGTGCTGAAGGTTTCTTCTGTTTCTATTTCCATATTCTAGAAACATGTTGCCGCTTGTAGCTTGTACGGATGTAGCAGCCTGCGAGAAGACTTCAGTCCGCGTCCACATCCTTCATTGACACGACCCGGCTGGGGTGTCGGATCATGTAGCAGCTTTCGTACTTCTTCCTTTGAAATGAATTTTGTCTCAAAAGAATCTCTGTATCTTCTTATGTTCATATAGAAGTTTTCATGTTACAATGAGTTGTGCTGATGGAGCGACGAATTTTGGTACACCATTTTGTATCGACTTTGATTCAAGAAGATTCGCAACTTTTGGTACATATGGTCAACATTCAGAAGCACACGATTACACAACCAATGTAAATTTCCAAGCAAAATCGAACAAAAAACCCAGACTCAAGACCGATTGATGCGATTTCAAACGTTAGTACCCAAGCTTTCAAAACTTGGCAAAGACGAATTGGCGTCCTCCTTGCGCCGCTGTATGCGCCGTAAAAAGCCCCTCACATGCAAATGCCGGCCCGACCGCGTGCTGACCCAAAACCGTCAACCTAGCTTCAACGTCGCTCTGCAACTGGATAAGCCAAATGCTCCTCCTCCGAGTCTCCCGGCCGCAGTCTCACATGCCCAACATGATGTCACCACTCCACCCAATCACTCTCACGTCGCATGCGAAAACGGCTTGCCAGATTGGTTTAAACGAATGACTTTGTTCATGATCATTACACATTACACATTAGATAAGCATGCTATATGTACAACAGCGCTGAGACTCGCACGGTCTCAGCCAACGAATCGAAGTGTGGTTGTCCTCCCATCATGCGCGTCTGCTCCGCTTCGCGCTGCCGTTGGCCACGCCGCTCGCAACCTCCGCGACGGGCACGGCGTCGATCTTGGACACCTCCTCGATGGTCTCGAGGGGTTCGACGTCGGACTCCTCGGCCTCGGAGCGGTCGTCCTTCTCCTCGCCGTGCCAGACGTAGCGGTAGCCGATGCGCACGAGGAAGAAGAGCCAGAAAAGGTTGAGCGCCTGCAGCAGACCCAGCAGGCCGAAGGTGATGATGTTGGAAGCCATGCACTTGTACTGCTGGTTGTCCCAGTCGGGGTAGAACTGGTAGGGGCCGACAGTGCGGAACTCGGTCAGGATGGACCAGAGGATCTTAAGGTTGATGACGTGGCGCAGGTAGATCCAGGAAGCGAGGGACAGGCAGTACCACGGACCGGTGATCGGGTGGTCGATGTAGTTGAGCGTTTTGGACATCTGATATTGTTAGATTCGGGGTGCGTCCGGACGAGGGGCAGGGGTGTCACTTACGGCCATGAAGAAATCACTGATATCGTGGGTCAGGTAGACGGCAATGCCGATGTGGGTGAAGTGGAAGCGGTAGCTGAGGCCGATGAGACCGAGGGTGACGATGTGATGCGCGACCAGCTCGTAGTAATCCTTGCGCGGCTTCTCCATGCCGAGGAGCATGACCAGCGCCTGCTGGGCCCAGTACGCCGCCTCGAAGAGGTAGTAGAACTTGACGATGGCCTCGTGGCTGCGGTGCGGGTAGAGCTCGTACATGCCGGTGGTGTTGAAGTACCAGACGGGCGTCCGGCTCATGACGTACATGCCGGCGGGGCCGAGGATGGCAAAGTAGAGCGCCGTGTAGCCCTGCTCCATGAAGCGCAGCTGCTTGCCCTTGGAGCGGATGCCGTAGGACTTGGCGAGGGGGCGGAGGAGCTCCTGCATGACGAACTCGCGGGTGAAGGTCAGGACGATGGAGTAGAAGAGGACGAAGGCGATGTCCCAGGGGCCCTTGCCGTAGTGGACGGGGGCGTCATTGTCGTCGGCGGTGTTGTCGGAGAGCTTGTAGGAGAGGAAGAGGAAGTGGTGGACGATGTTGGACTCGGTAGGGTTGATGGCGTAGGTGGACAGGAAGGCGAGGATCAGGACGAGCGGCGTGGTCCAGGTGTGCTTGACGGCGATGTGCTTGCACTTGCGGAGGAGAGCGCGGGCGCGGCTGCGTTGGGCGACGAGCTCGTCCTGCTTCGCGGAGGCAGAGGACGGCTGGCCGTGGGCTCTGATGCTCGACTTTCTGCGTCGTCGGACGGCCTGGTCCTTGCCAGAGGGTGCTGGCGACGAGGCCTGTTCTGGGAGTTGTTCGGGCGCGGTCATTGTCGCGGTGCGGCGGCTGATCGTGCCCTCAATGAGGATGTTTGTTGTTGTAGTGATGCTAAGATGAGAGACTGCGGGGTGTCGCGTGTGTATAGGTGAGGTGTTGGGTTGAGGTTGAGAGAGCAGAGACAGAGGTCGCTGTCTGGTGTTCGGTCGCAATTGACGACGAGACAAAAGTCGGTCAAGGCTGAGGTGGTGAACAAGAAGGAGGCGTTGTTGGATGGCGGTGACTTCTTCAAAAGGAGGCAGAGGGTTAATAGGAGGAGCCAAGAGAAAGCCGAGGGAGGCGGTCGGTGGTCGGTGTCGTCGGGGGCTTTTTTTTTTTCTCTAGGTCTTTCAATTTCCCCCGTGGCTTGCACCGGAGGCGGAATTACGGTGGATCAGGGACAATCTTAAGGCGGACATGGGTTTAATTCTCACGGTGTCTGTCCGGGTGCCTAGGGGCCAGTCTGGGGACTCGGGGAGACTGTACTGGACCACTAGGTAAGCGACGCAGCGAATCGCAGGCCGCTGTTGTACGCGGATGACCTCTGGACCTGCGGTAAGCTGCGTTTTTTTTGTCTTTTTCCGGCCCACCCGGTGGGAATCAGCGGAAAGGAGGAGTGTCGATGCGCTGCTGCTGGTTTGTTGCTGGGGGGAAGCGAGAGGTTTGCACTCTGCAGAGGTTTTTTCCTCTCTGGTGTCTTGCGCTGGTTTTGATTAAAGGGCGATCACTCTGCAGGAAGAAGAAGAAGCAAGCCTGCGATAGGTGGCTGGGCCTGCAGTGTTTTTGTTGGTTGCGAACGTTGGGCGCACCGCTTGAAGGCACCTTGTCTTGCCTTCCATGCCTTAAGTTTTAGTTTGAGGAATCCGTATCTGACTGCCGCAAGCACTCCCGCAGGATGCAATAGGGGAACGGACACGCGATATAATGTCCGATGTCTGGACGGGCATTAATTGGGCGGCTGTTGCAGATGGTGTTTGAGTCTCTTGAAACCAGGCATCTCACAACTGTCTGGACGACGCAGCAGACAGAACACGTCAGTCAGTCCGTCAGCTCTAGTCATTCATCCATCCTCTGCAGTGCTGAAGTCTGGCGGAATGTCACCGGTCAGAGTTGGACGACGGCCATTGACTTCGGCTTCTTTGGGAGTGCCGTCATCCCAACTGGACGGGACCTTCCATTGGCAAAAGACAGGACGAAGACGGAGCCCGGAGGCCGGAGACCCCTATTGTCAATGAAAGTTGTTGAGTTGGCGATTCAGGGGTCATGTCGTCACCGTGCCCGCCCGAATTTTTCGTCCCATGTTCTCGTCGCTTTGTTGCCTTAATAAGCGCACCGCGTTGTCACTGGCAGCTGGCGTGTCGCTGTTCCAGCCCGTGAGCTAAGGTACCGGCTCTACCGACGACGATAGAGACGGAGACCACAGCACCTCCGAGCGCCCGGCAGTGGGCACTCAACGGCTGCGTATTAGGTCAGCATTTCCCGAGCACGGTAAGTCAACAAATGTACCTGCGGGCATCCGCTGGCAGGGGAGGTACATCTACCACCCGGGCAGGCAGGCACCATGCAGATCACCCGCCCGCGCCACGACTTGCCGCCTGAACCTTGCCAAGCGTCACTCCCACCACTCCTTCCTCCTCGCTTCCAAGGCGTTCCTGCCGTGCCACTGCTAGGATTGTCTGTGGCTTGAACGCGCTGACGACACCTCGACGCCTCACCCAGCTCACACACAGCTCCAGTCACAAAGCGTGGCACCCAGCAGCTGGCATTGCAGGCTTGCAGCAGCTGCGGCATTGCACCAGCGTTACGGCACGTTGCTCCCGTCCTGGCACTTTACGTACATTACAGCTCATGGCGCAGGGAGGGGGAGGGGCAGTGCCATTCGTCTGTCTGTCCACCGCGGGGCTCCAGTAGGGCTGCCTCTCTCAGGTCCTGTCCTCTGGGCGAGGGATCCCATCTGATGGAGCTGCACCACCTGCATCGCAGCACACTGCACGTAGCTCAGCACTGCCATTCGTGTAATTCGTGTCCGTCTACACGTGTAAAGAATCTTGGCCAAACAGCTACCTAGCTCGTCGTCAGCAATAAGAACCACCAGTTCCCATCTGCTGCTTGCATCATCTCTGTCCCTCTCGCATTGTACCTTGGCATATAACCCAACTGTATGCATTTCCAGCGCCCGACCTGCATCCTCACCTCGATCGCAGTTCTTCTCGCCACGCTCTTCCTCACGCACACCTACACAGACCTCTTCTCCCGAGCCCCGCTCCCCAGCTTCAAATCACCCGCTGAAGACAACATGGGCGGCGGTCCAGGCTTCCGTTCGGTAGCCTACTTTGTCAACTGGTAACTCTCCTGGTTCCTTTCTCTTGTCTGACCAAACTGACCTCTCTAGGGCAATCTACGCCCGCAAGCACCGCCCCCAAGACCTCCCCGTCGAGAACCTCACCCACATCCTCTATGCCTTCGCCAACGTCCGCTCCGACACGGGCGAGGTCCACCTCACCGACGGCTGGGCCGACACCGACATCCACTGGGAGGGTGACAGCTGGAACGACGTCGGCACAAACCTCTACGGCTGTCTGAAGCAGCTCAACCTCCTCAAGCGCCGCAACCGCAACCTCAAGGTCCTGCTCTCCGTCGGCGGCTGGACATACTCCTCCAACTTCAAGAACCCCGCCAGCACCCCGCAGGGCCGCGACACCTTCGCCCGCAGCTGCGTCGACCTGATCAAGAACCTCGGCTTCGACGGCATCGATATAGACTGGGAATACCCGCAGAACCAGGCCGAGGCGTCCGACTTTGTGGCCCTGCTGCAGGCGACCCGCGACGCCATGGATGCGTACGCATCGACGCTGCCGCAGTGGTACCACTTCGAGCTGACTGTCGCGTGCCCCGCCGGCGCGCAGAACTATGAGAAGATGAACCTCCCCGCCATGGACCGTCTCCTCGACTTTTGGAACCTGATGGCGTATGATTACGCGGGCTCCTGGGACAGCACTGCCGGCCACCAGGCGAACCTGCAGCCCTGCAACAGAAACCCGAGATCCACGCCCTTCAGCACGGCTGCCGCGCTGTCGTATTATACCTCGCACGGCGTGAACCCCACAAAGATCGTGCTGGGCATGCCGCTGTACGGCCGTGCCTTTGAGAACACGGACGGTCCCGGGGCGCCGTACTCTGGCATCGGTGAGGGAAGCTGGGAGAATGGCGTGTTTGATTACAAGGTGCTGCCGCTGCCCGGCTCGCAGGAGTACGTCGACGAGGAGACCGGGGCGAGCTATTCCTACGATGCCGGCAGGAGGAAGATGATCAGCTACGACAACCAGCACCTGGCGCGGAAGAAGGGAGACTACATCAGGGGGTGGGGTCTCGGAGGCGGCATGTGGTGGGAGAGCAGCGCCGATAAGCCCGGCCATGAGTCTCTTATCGGCACCGTCGTGCATGCCTTTGGCGGACCGCACTCGTTGCAGAGGCGGGACAACTGCATCACGTACCCGGAGACGAAGTACGAGAATTTGAGGAACGGGTTCCCGAACAATTAGATACCACAAAGTTGTAGCAATTTGGAATGGAATGTCACAAATCACAATGTCACAGCAGGATGAACCGGTGGTGGAGGAATGGTCATGAGTGTCGTGAATTTTGCATCGTCATTGCCAGCCAGTGATGTGGTGGTATCTACATCAACGCCCCTTTTTGTGCGGCTTCCTGCCGACTAGAATGCTAACCCTGGAAACCATTCCTCCCAAACAAGCCTTTTTTATCCTTCACATCCGCGAAACACTGGCAACAAGCTTACTCCTTCTTGTCGAAGACGTAGGTAAGGTGGCAGCGGCCGCAGTACTGGCGGTCGTTCATGGCAGCCATGAAAACACCGGCACCGCACTGGATAAGAGTTAGTAATGTGTTGGTGAGAAGAAGCAAAAGAGGAAAACATACGGTGTCGGAGGGGCACTCGCGGCGGAGACGCTCAATCTTGCCGTCGGAGTCGACCTTGTAGTACTTGAGGACGGCCAACTTGGTCTTCTTGCGCTTGTGCTTGATCTTCTTGGGGGTGGTGTAGACCTTCTTCTTGCGCTTCTTGGCACCTCCACGCAGGCGCAGGACGAGGTGGAGGGTGCTCTCCTTCTGGATGTTGTAGTCGGAGAGGGTGCGGCCGTCCTCGAGCTGCTTTCCGGCGAAGATCAGGCGCTGCTGGTCGGGGGGGATGCCCTCCTTGTCCTGGATCTTGGACTTGACATTGTCGATGGTGTCGGAAGACTCCACCTCAAGGGTGATAGTCTTACCCGTGAGGGTCTTGACGAAGATCTGCATGATTGCCTACTTGTGTGAGGTTAGTTTTCTGGCACACTGCTGGTTGTGGTGCCGGCCTGATGAGGCGCCCTGCCTGGGCTTCTCTCGATTCTTCTCGGTCTCTGGCTTGTGTTCCTGGCGGGGAGGCAATTTGTCGAGGCGAAGGGTAGCGGTGGTGATGGCGATGAATGTCACAACGTCGCGCGCACGCACACACGCTTCGCTGGATTTGTCGACAGTGGTGGGCGTGGCCGCTGCGCCGCACAACCGACGCTTTCGATTTCGCGATTGCGTCAGGAGGCGAGGGCGACGCCGCCGCAGAGAACTCGACAAGCCAGAGACGTGAACGATATCGAGAGAAGTGGGAAGAGGGCGCTCACGGCCAGCAAAGAGGGAGCAGAAGCATCTTCAGACGTACCTCGACAATATGACTATTGCCTTCCTAAGCAAATCCTCAGATGGGTTTGGGGTGGGATGGAGAGAAAATTAAATGGGAAAATGGTGGTCGGCGCGGCCTCTTCACGGGAAAACCGACGGCCGCGGTGCTGGGGCCCTGGGGTTGAGAAAAGCGGGGCATGGGCTTCAGACAAGCGAGGGCACGGCATTGGGGGACGGTGATTGGCTGTGGGGGCCTATGGAAATGGACTTGTGCGCGCGAAAATGGCTCTCTTTTTTTTTCTGGTGTGCCTTTTTCCCTCTGGTCGTCCCCGGTCTTGGTGGATCTCGAGCCAGCCCTTGCGACCAGCCCTCCTTCGCCTGCAACCACTTCTCGTTATCCACCATTGCGTCGACAGTTCGCAGAGGCCCAGCCCACCAAACGGAAATCTTGACTCAGCAAGTCGAGTGAAAACCTCAAGTATGTCTGCCGCGAAATTCCTCCTCCTTCTTCCTTCTCCTCTCCACGGATACTAATCACCCAGCAGACGTCGCCAAAATGGTCAAGAAGAGAAAGAACAAGTACGACCCTCCCGTCCCCTCTCTGCCCTCGAGCGTGGCTTCGACGTCGGCGACGATTGCCATGCGAACAATATCATGAGCCCGGCTCGCCGTCGACGTCGCTGTCGCCGTTGAGGCCTTGACACAATCGACTCGCGGAATCACGATTGCTGACTTTAGTGAACCTACAGCGGACGCAACAAGAAGGGCCGCGGCCACGTCAAGCCCATCCGCTGCAGCAACTGCTCGCGCTGCACGCCCAAGGACAAGGCCATCAAGCGCTTCACCATCCGCAACATGGTCGAGTCTGCTGCTATCCGTACGCCTACCTCCCCTCCCTTCCCTACTCGATCAATTAACTAACAGTCCGACAGGTGATATCTCGGACGCCTCCGTCTTCGCGGAGTACACCGTACCCAAGATGTACCTGAAGCTGCAGTACTGTGTCTCTTGCGCCATTCACGGCAAGATTGTCCGGTACGTTCGTCCGCGGGAGCGACGACTGCGCGCCCCGGCCCCCGTGCCGGTGGTCAGCAGGCGCTACAGAAGAACCTTGGCTCTACTCGAAGCTCCCACCCTCCGTTGTCCCTCGACCCTTCCCTCGCAAGAGGAATCGGTCTTTAGCGGACTCGTGCTGAGACCGTGTAATGCTGACCTTCCCTCGCAGTGTCCGTTCCGTCGTCGGCCGCCGCAACCGTGCTCCCCCTCCCCGCGTCCGCTACAACAAGGACGGCAAGAAGATCGTCCCCACCGTCGCCAAGACCGCTTAAGTCGGCTACCGCAGGGATGTGTTGGGCATGATGGCGTTTACGAGCAGTGGATGAAAAAGTTGTCCTTTCAGGCATGGTTTGGGAACCGGAATCGGGTTTATGAATCGGGCCATGGCCCTAGGCTAGCAAAGGAAATGCTTCATGACACTGTCATCGTCCCCAAACTTGTCCTATCTACCGTGACATGTCTTTTCTTTTCTGTTAAAGTTGTTGGACTCTTGTCTACTCCTCTCTTGTGACTTCAAACGCGACAAAGCGCCAGTCCTTATCCCACCACGCTGGCTTCTTCGCCCCAGGCCCATCCATGGTTCCAATCTGATCGCTCACCTCCGTCTTGAGCTTCCACCGCGTGCCCGTCGCCTTGGATATGTCAACCCACATGCTCTCCCACGTCTGCAGGTTATGCCGCAGGCTGGGCTTATTAAACATGCCCGGCAACTCCAACCCGTCCGCGTGCCCAACCGCGTGTCCTACCATGACCACACCCGGCTTCTGCTTCAGCAAACGGATCACCCGCCTCAGCACCGTCATCTGGTCCCCCCTGTTCCACAGGTGCAGGCACAGCCCCAGGTGCGCCGAGTCGAACTGGCCCTCGAGCGCGTTGAGCTTCGCGCTCTTGTCGTCGAGCATGTCGGCGTTGACGAAGGTGGTCTTAAGGGTGTCCCTGTCGCGGAAGAGGTCGTAGCCGGCGTCGATGTAGCCCTGCTCGATCTCGATGGCGGTGATGTTCTCCGAGGGCACGCCGTCGTAGACCATCTTGCGCAGGTCCTGGCCGATGCAGCAGGCCACCTCGAGGTGCCGCGCCCCGGGCTCCTGCAGGCGCGCGACGAGCGAAGGGTAGACGGCCCGGTGGCGGAGGTTGAGGTCCAGGAAGGAGAAGTGGCCCACGCAGGGGTAGGGGAAGACTTCCCAGATCTTGTCGCGCTGTGGGGTGTGAGCTGTTAGAAGAGATGTGCTTGGGGTGAGAGGGGGGACGGGTACTGACCATTGTCATGATGTGATCCTGGATGTCTTCGGGCGCAACGTGAGCGTAGTTCTCGAGGAGATCTCTCGTTTCTGGCGAGATTTCCTTCTCCATGGTTGGCGTGTACCACGGAGCCTGCCTGTTTCTCTCCCCCATGAGAATTGTATTATCTACTGCCTGCATCTTGAAGTTCTTGTATCAGTTGTTTCGTTTCTGAAGTTGTACTGTACTTTCTGTGACATCAATGGATGCTCCGTATTCGTGTCTATGAATGGTTCCAACCGAGCATGTCAACTGAGCTGTCACCTCTTTATAAGCCCAACCTTCCACTCTCCTAGCTCTTCTCGACCAAGCTGCTGGACCTTCTCCAAAGCACTACTGGCCGATCTCGGTTCCGTTCAAGGTTGAGGGGGTCCAGAAGTTGGGATGGAATCACCCGTAAAAGACTTTGGAGCCGCGTTTCACCAATGTATTTGGGTCATGCTGGGTGCTGACCTGCTGAACTCTGTGCGATCGTCTGATGTTTTGTTTACTATCTTCCGCCGAGATAGATCTGGATAACATGGAAACCCGGACTACTGTAATGAGGAGAGGAGAGGAAATGAGGGGTTCCGCCCCACGAGAGGAATTGCTCTGTCAAAGGTCACCAAGCCACTCGTGTACGATGCTTTGGCTTTCCTACGCCCTACTTTGAGCACGCACCCAACGCCTTACTTTCAACCCCTCAGACCCGTGTAATACCCGTGCTAGGGGTGTGGATGACAGCGTTTACCATGTCACTGGGAGCTTCACCGCGCCGACGTCCTTGTGAAGGGGTGTGAACTCCAGCTCGGAGATTGGAACGGCGATCTTAAGGTTGGGCAGCTTGTGGAAGAGGGTGGCTGGGTCGACACGTTAGTAAGCTGCTCTCAGAGCTTGATGCCTGCCTTTCCGTGGGATACTGGCGTGGAGAAGGGAGGGGAGAGACAGTTGACGGAGTGTTCGTGGGGAAGTTACGTGACGGAACTAGAAAGACAGGAGAAGTCCGCTTACCAAAGACGACCTCCATCTCGGCGCGTGCCAGAGGTTCGGCAATGCACCGGTGCGGGCCGAAGCCGAACCCCAGAGCATGGTTGGGATCCGGGGTGCGGTGCATGTTGAAGACGTCCGGGTCCGGGAAGACGTCTTCGTCGCGGTTGCCGGAGGCGTTGGCGGCGATGATGCCTTCGCCTGCTTTGATGGTCTGCGTGATCTCAGCTCACATGTTTGGCGACAGAAAAGCTGGAGGTGTTGAGATAACGTACCTGGCCGCCGAGGACAATGTCCTCTTTTGCCACTCTCTTCATCGCCATCGACGAGCCGGTGTGATACCTGCAGAGCTCTTCGACAAACGCCTTCGAGAGGGAGGGGTCTGACTCAAGATCGGCGAGTTGTGTCGGGTTGCGGAGGAGTTCGATCACGCCCTGGCTCGTATCAGCCGTCGGCTGCAGAAATTGGAAGGGAAGGATACTTACGAGCGCAATCATGTTCACCATCGTGGCGTTGCCTGCTACCAACAGCAAGAAAGCAATCTGCACAGCATCGGACTTTTCAATGTGGCCAGGCCTGAGCTGCTCGACGACGAGCTTGCTGATGAGGTCGTCCTTGGGCTGTTCAGAACGCTTGTCGACGAGGTTGGCGAGGTAGTCGAGCAGTTCCCTGAAGGATGTGTGAGCAAGTCGATAGAAAATGCATCAAATTGAGTGGCTTACTGGTTGGCAGCTTGAGCTTGGAGAGCGGTGCCACTGCCGTTTGTGCGGATCGCGTTTTGCTGGGTGAGGTACTCGAGGTCTTCAAACGGGACTCCGAGGATGGTGTAGATGATCTTCCAGGAATTCATGTCAGCTCCGTGAAACCGGCTTTAAGATGAACAAAGCGGGTTTGCTTACATATGAAGGCACCGGTAAGGCAAAGTTATCAATGAGATCGACTGGCTCCTCGCATCCCTTAGCTACCATCTGATCAAGCAGCTGATCTACGGTCCTCTGGATGTACGGCTTCATCGTCTCCACATGCTCGGCAACGAAGAGAGGTTCAACCATGGACCGCTGGCGCATGTGCGCGGGAGGATCCATGTCGACGAAGGTGGGCTTGTTCTTGGCGGCTGCTTTGCCGCCGGCGCTGAGCTCTGGGAAACCGGGCCTCGTGCGTTCCTGGATTGCATCATGTCAATGGCTTGTGCGATTTCACGGGCTTGGAGGAGAGTTTACCTTGGACAATCGGGTATCCGTGGCCACGGCGCAGACGTCCTTGTACTTGGTCACCAGCCATGCCAGTGAGCCGTCAAAGAGCTTGACGCGGGACACGGGGTCTGAGGCGCGGAGGCGGGTGTATTCTGCTGGCGGCTCTAGGCCGGAGGCGCGGTTGAAGGGGAAAGAAGGGGGCTCGGAGGTTGCCATTTTGCGGGCTGAGAGGGTGTTTCTGAGGGCTGGAGTGATCTTGGAAGACCTGAGTAGGCGGGATGTAGAAATCATGAATGAGACTGTGAGTTGCTCGATGATGTCCCTGATCACGAACGCATTTTGGCGAGGCTATGTTAACATTTTATACTCTTTCTACAATTTTGAAAACTACGTCACTGAAGTCTAGATCTCAAAAGCACAGGCTTCAACCGGTGGGCGACAGTCCCATCTCATGATGGGTTGTGGTCTGATGGTGAGCGAGCGACACTCCGCGACGTCAACAAATTCAAATTGTAATACGGATGACCCGGTTGGCCAGTACCGCTGGAGAAGACACTGCATTCCCAGGGACAATGTACTTGGTAGGACACAAAAAACATGGCTTGCAGGGATTTGTTGGCCGATGATGTGCTGACATGGAGCGGGAAGGGGCGGGAAGGTCCGCGGAGTTGTCCAGATCTGACTTCGGAATCATTTTGTGGCCGCTCGTGATGCCCGTATGGGTCCGTCAAGTCCCGACTCTTGCGGCGTCTAAGCCTCTTTTGGCGGCATTTCTCATTGAAAGGTCGGGTGAGGCTAGTCATGCGTGTTTATTTGATGCAGGGCTTAGAATACCGTGGACTTGTGCTGGGTTTTCTCTGTGGATGGAGAATAAAAATGCATTTCCAGATCTCCGGGAATTTGTCACTGTGGATGGTAGGACAATACTGACTCAAGGTAGCATGCTATTGGGCCATGATGTAGTTGGGGTTACTCCATTTGGTATCCAGTGCAAGCAAGTATCCCGCCGGCTTATGGGGTACATCGGGGTGAGATGACCGGTGCTCTCCGGGGCACGGCGTCATCGGTCCCGTACGGTGGGGCCGAGTGTGTAAAATATTCAAGCAAAATTCGACGAAAACCTGACATTTGGAATATGAGATCTGTGAGTCAGAACGTGTCCTGTATGATTGGCAATGCTGGTACGTTTTTCCGTCGCTGAACTTCCCGATGGATGCACTCAAACCTAGCCAGAAGACTCCTCGTTCATGCAAAGGAACGCAACATCACTCCTAAGCCTCCGTCTCCGAGACCTTCCTAGGTTTGTATGGCTGAATGGTGTTAGCCAGAAACATGTATGGATTTGAAGCTTGACTTACCAATGGCTTCGGCGGCGCATCGATCCACGCCGCGATAGTGTACTGCTGGTTATCCGCAGCCGTGAGACTCAAGTCATACTTCCCGCCCTTCATGTAACCAAACGCAAAGTTCATCGGGAATCGCGGATCGAACGGGGAGGCTTCGTGGATGAGATCGATATCTGCTTTGGAGAGCTCGATGCCAATTGCTTCGGGGATGGCCTCGACGTGGGCGACAGTGTTGACGCCGATGATTGGGAAGACGTAAGGAGATTGATGGAACAGATAAGCTAGAGCCTGTCGAAAGTCAGCCTCCAACATCTTAATTCTAACGAATGGGAGAGCATACGATCGATCGAAGAGTCGCGCCCTTCTCTTTTGCAATCTTTTCGAGCGCCTCGCAGAGAGCGACCGAGACCTCCTGCCCGTGAGAGGACTTGCGTGCGTCGGGGTCCTTGTCGCGCGCCTCTCTTTCTCCAGCCGTCAGGAACTTGCCGCCGCCGAGAGCAGCCCAAGGAACGATGGCCATGCCTTGATCCTCGCACATTGGGATGATCTCCGCTTCCATGTCGCGAAAGCCGGCGTTCCAGCGTCCTTGGTAGACCGAGAAGGGCGTGAGACCGTTGGCGCGGGCGACTAGTCCTTCTGTCAGTATGGCTGTGTGTCGGGTATTTCTAAAGGTGAACTTACATGCGTTCGCCTTGACAACAACCCACGCCGGCGTGTTCGACACACCCAGATACAGCACCTCCTTCGCCATGACATGCGCATGCAGGCCCCTCATAACCTCCTCCACGCCTGTGGCCCAATCCCACCAGTGCACGTACAATACATCAATGTAGTCCGTCCTCAGCTTCTTCAAACTCTCTCGGACGGAGATGTGCATGCTCTTGGCCGAATTCCCTGTGAAATTACTCTGCAGTGGTTCTTTCTCGCGGTTGTACGAGCGGAAACCCGCGGTGTATTTGGTGGCCAAGACGATCTGGTCCCGCACGCCACGCTTCTCCATCCATTCTCCGATGAGGCGCTCCGAGTCTTCTGAGTTGTAGATGTTGGAGGTGTCGATGAAGTTGCCGCCGAGGGCGAAGTATGCGTCGAGGAGGGCGAAGGGGTCTTCGTTCTTGCCGAAGATTGAGGACCAGGAGTGGCCGATGCCGATACCGCCGAGGCAGATTGGGGAGACCTTCACGGAGGCTGTCGGGGAGAGGATGCGATGGTAGCCTAGGGAGGACTTTGGTTTCGGGGGGTATTCGAAGAAGGACATTGTGATGTATCGGTACGGCTTGGAATGTTATTGGATGGATCTGAGGACTTTGGCTGAGAGGCATCTTCTTGCGGTAACGGAACATTGTTCATTTATGAGGTCTTAGACTAACAGTCATATTCTTGTTCTTGGAACTTATGACGTTGCTTGATGTTGAAGTGGAATCTGGGGTTGTAAGTAAAGCACCGCGCTTGGTTTCGGTGAGCCGTCCGATTGGTCGGGTCAGAGCTGCAACTTGATGACATCTGCAACATGCTGACACTCTCCACAAATGACCCACCCAATCCAAGGGAGAGTGCCAGCCAGTTTGCGAACGCGAGATGGTCATGACAGCATGATCAATAGAGACGCTGAAAATATTCTCGGACCTGAATTGCCGAAATGGGGATAAGTCCGGGCCTTAGGGCCGACACTTCGTGGCACAAGTCACCATTGAGTCTTGGGTGTTGCTGGGGGTGAAGTATGAGGCTTAGAAGAAGCTCAGGGGATCACGAGAGTCAACTGGAAACGCCTATTTTGAGCAAGTATTCCCGAGACAGAAGGGTTTGTCAGAGCGCTGCAGGGTCGCGCAACAGCGCGTGCATGTACAAGTATATTGCTTGATCTATGTAGGCCTATTCATACATGACTCTTACATTCTAGCGGAGGATTGTTACGAGTCAACTCTTGTTCCTCTAATGGATTTAGGCAAGGTTATTCTGGAAGAACTGGGTAAGCTTGCCAAACGGGATGAGCCCCACGCGGTCGTAGAGATCAACATGTCCAGCACCCGGAACCCAAACAAGCTCCTTCGGCTCGCCCGCCTGGGCATAGGCTGCCTCGCTGAACTCGCGAGAGTGCGCCTGATCGCCAGAGATGAAAAGCATGGGGCGGGGCGAGATCGTCTCAATGTCGTTGAACGGGTAGAAGTTCATGAACTTGACCATGCTGGTGAGGGTCGGATGCGTGGTGAGGTTGGGAGACGAGCCTTCAGGGGTGAACTCGCCGCGAGGGGTGCGGTAATAGTCGTAAAACTCGCGTTGGACAGCAGGCGTGTCCTCAGTGAGCTCGTGGGTGGTGCCGCCGGTGTACTCCGTCTCGCCGCCGGCAGCTTCGACCCACCGCTGCTGGGCCGCTGAGGCAATGATCTCCTTGCGCTGCTCGACGGTCTGCGCCTTCTGCAAGCCGTCGCGGGCGGCGGCACCCATGTCGTACATGCTCGCCGTGGCGACGGCCTTCAGGCGAGGGTCGATCTTGGCTGCGCTGATGACGAAGGAGCCGCTGCCGCAAATGCCCAGACCGCCGATGCGCTCGCGGTCGACAAAGGATTGGCCGCCGAGGTAGTCTACAGTGGCGCTGAAAGCTTCAGCGTAGAGCTCTGGAGCAACGGCGTTGCGTGGCTCGCCTGAGCTGCCGCCCCAGAAGGGCATGTCGATGGACACAGTGACGAAACCCTGCTCGGCCAGCTTGGTGGCATAGAGGTTTGCGCTTTGTTCCTTGACGGCGCCCATGGGGTGGCTGACGACGATGGCCGGGGAGGTACTATTGCGCGCGAGGTTGTTGGGGGTGAAGAGGTTACCGGCGACAGTGGTGTTGAACTGAGTCTGGATGGTGATTGGGTGTAGGGTGACATTCTCGCTGCGGTAGAAGTTGTCGGCGCCGAAAGACATGTTTTGAGCGGTGGCTGGCATTGTGTTGAGGAGAGTTGTGAGGCAGAATGCCGTGATGGCTTTACCAATGATGGCCATGATATCCGAATTCACGGCTAAGCGATTGTAACAAGTGAATGATGATGAAGCTAGGTCCAGACTTCAAGTAATGTGCATATGACCTTCTTATAGTCATGTCGAGGGCATTGCCAAGATCGTCGGTAGAATCAAGAACTGCCGTTGAGATTATCAGCGGATGAGGCCGCGCAACGCCAATCCATTTCGGCACGCGAGCATCATCACGCCAAGATACTTCATGATTGGTAATTTGCCGGTATTCAGAAGGATGAAGTCGACGAGTGGGATGTCATCAAGCTGCATGAGTGCTTGTGTGGATGTCTTACATCCCTGACTCCTTGTTAAAGTTGCGGGAAGTCATCGGGTTGCATTAGCGTAGTGGGGTTGATCTGGGAGCACAGCCATCATCTCGTGCTTGTATTCAACCGGTTGGCCCTAGTGAAGACCTAATATCACTATGGATGACGTTGGGACAGGGGCAAACTTAAGGTGACGGCCGATTCTTCGGCTTGGACAGGCTTCTAGCGGCGGAAAGTCGGAGCATTTGTGGAGGTAAGTGTGCAACATCGAGAAAGCCAAGACTTGAACTGCCCCTGTCACCAGCACCGCCGGGCGAAGGACTCGGCCTTGCCTGATTGCGGACTATCTAAAGAAGCGAACATTTCAGAATTACACCAGGATATGTCTCTTGATTACCAATCTTCTACCCAGTTTGAAGAGTACCTATTCGTGCCATGACGTGCCTAATTAAACAACAAAGATTTGCACCACTCATACACGACAGAGATAACGCGCTCAAAATAGACAGGTACGCAAAGTTCTGAGATAGGCCCACTGACATAGGATGTCACCCTTAGTCTTCCTTCGCCTTGGTCACGGCCTTGCCATAGCTCGCAATGACCGACTCTCTCCAGGCCCAGACGCCTGCATACGTGGCGGCAGGTCCCACAAGCACACTGCCGGCCAGGGTCAGTCCAACGGTCTTGAGAGCCGCCGAGGTCGTAATGTATCCGAATCTTCTCATCTCGAACACGCTGTAAAGAAGCCAGACCGCGACGGAGGCGAAGCAAAGCACCATGTCGTACTTCCAGAACCCAGCGATAGTCATCGCATCCCAAGGGGGAAGACCAAAGAAGGACTCAGAGATGGAGACGGAGGCGTTGAGACCGGCGTACAGGAATGTGCTGATGTGGGTGACGGCAGTGGCGAAGAAGCAGAAAGCGTAGCCAGACTGAAGGTAAGGGAGGTCCTTGTTCTCGAGGGCTTCCCAATCGAGGGTCTTGGTGGGCTTCATGGCATACACAAACTTTGAACCGATCCAGGCGAGGAGCGAGACGTAGACAGGGAATGGTTGCCAGAAAGCGATGGCGTTCTGCTGAGTGACGGCATCCTCGTGGGGCAGGAACATGAGGGCCGTGGGGATGGCGTATCCAAGACACAGAGCGGGTAGGATGACCTTGGCGACATGAGAAGGAACGGGACGGCCGGTCGTGCGGGCGTAGACGCTTCTGCTGGTTGTGTACACGCTGAGGAGGAAGTAGAATGGCGCGACCTTTCCTATTCCCAGCAGCTGGTAGATACCAAAGATGGACGGGATGGAAACCAAGGAATGAACGTTGCCGTTACGGTAGCCTTCGACCGTCCAGATGTAGATGATGGGGATCAAATTGATCAGGAAGTAGAGGCACTGAGTCCTACTGTTGGGATCGGGACCAGCGACTTGTTCCGAGAAAGCCCAGACAAAGATGGCGAGGATATTGTCGATTGATGGGAACCCCGTGTAAGTGGTCTTTGCAGGCACGCCAACGAACGAGGCGCTCACAGCGACAACCTCTGGGCCCGTGTTCAGGACAAGCGACTGTTGCGCAATGTAGAGCAGACCGCACAGCGCGGCGGCGACTGTGATCTTGGGGATGTAGGACGGAGTTAGAGGAGTGCTGGCCAGCTCGTCATGGAATGGGACGGCATGGGGACGCTTCGGAGCATCCATGATCTCGAGCTTGTGCCCACCCTCAATGTTTTGGGACCACTGATCCCACTTTTCGTCGAGAGAAAGAATTGGAGCAACGTGATTACCAACCACTTCCAGGAGAGGGGATTCCATGGCGGCGAAGCGCTGTTCTTCGTGAGATGCTTTCACGAGCGCCTGGGTTCGTGCCTCCCGTGTCGCTTGGGTCTTGGTGAATACGGCGTTGATGTCGGCCGAGGTGATGTCTGACGGGCGCGTCTTGCTCTTTAGCATAGTTGCGAGGTTTGAGACGAGGACAGCAGCGGTCTCGATTGCACTGTTGCCTCCCTGGCCGGCAATTGGCTCGAACTGTAATGATGGTGGTCAGCATGATCACGTGGCGATTGATGAGATGGCAGGGATGTCCCACCTTGTGTGCCGCATCTCCAATGGTCATGATGCGCTGGAAATGCCACTTCTTGAACACATATTCGGGCAAAGGGGTGAGCACGGATGAGATCTTGGTCGAGTACAAATCTCTGAAGGTGCGGTTCTCCAGAATCTTGTCGTTCATGTGCTCATTTGCCAAGGTCTCTTCGTCTTTCTTGGTGAAGCTGGGGAGCTCAGGGCCGTAGTGAGTCGTACCCATGTTAACAAACAGGAACCAGTAAACACGGTTCTTAGGTCCACTGATGATGAGGTAAGAGTAGCCCTTGTTCAAGTTCGTCTGCACAGTCTGTGGCTCCCAGCTCTTGTCGATGGAAATGCCGAAAATGCACTTGTAGACCGTGGGAAGACACTCTGTTTCATCTGTTAGTCGCTGTTCCCACAGAGTTCAGTGGGCATAGACTTACCTTTGTACTCCGAGGCAGGAATATAGCCAGGCTCAAGAGCATCTGCAAGCCGCCACATCTCATTTCTGACCTTGCTGTGGACACCATCTGCGCCGACCAAGATGTCTCCGTAGTAAAAACTTCCATCGCCTGTCTCCACCTTGACTCGCGATGGCTCAAGCTCGACCTTTGTCACCTTTTTGTTGACAAGGATATTGTCCTTATTCTTGAGGTTGCGCCACAACACTTCAAGGATCATTTGGCGGTCCACGAAGACGGTGTCATATCCGTGCCTGGAGACATGTCAAACTCTGTCCAGGAATATGCTCGCAGGCATGCCAGGCTATTTCCACTTACCTTTCGCGTACTTGACCTCCAACGTTCAAGTAGTTGGTGACCATGTTACCTTTAGGATGGCGAAGAGACGTCTCGTAGAGAGGGCCATCGATGAGTTTTCTGATCTCGTCGTATAGGCCAATCTGGTCCAGGACGCGGCAACCATTTGGAAGGATGCCGATGCTTGCACCTACTTGAGGTGCCATCTCGCGATAACCCTCGAGAATCAGGTAGTTGACGCCGATCTTCTCGAGCATGCTTGCGAGCGTCAGGCCGGCTATTCCGCCGCCGGCGATGAGAACTGTGAAAGGTTCGTCTGACATGATGGCCATCACAACTATGAGATCGCCGAAAAAGTGTTGAGAGATGTAGTGCAGTGCTGGATGGGCTTGTGAGATATGACCTTCATGGAGCTTTTCAGAGCCTCTTTATAAAATCAAGCCGGATGCGCCAAGGTGGCTGTGTGACGACGATCCAGAACAGGTCCGTCGAGCCTGAAAGTCTAGCCTCCAGCACCAGAGTGGAGATATGACGATGAGCCCGCAGATGAAACTCTTCTATCGGCTTCAATAGCGACCGATCCTCCGTTGGACGAATTATTTCTTGATCTCACGTCTCACAGCTTTTGCGATTAGAAGATGCAAATTCGCCTCAAGAGAGATGGGTTTTGCCCGGTGGGTAATGTGTAATGGGTTGCGCGGGATGGGTTACGCCCGATGCTGGGAGCTGCCACGAAACCTTAGCGACGGGGTTACGTAGAAGATGGAGATTGAAAGACGGCATATGTAGATTGAGTTCGGATCACGGGTATCCGTAGTGGAGTGGTCTTGATGAGTATTCAGGGTTGAGAAGTCGTAACTTACCAAGAGATGCCAATGGCTGTGGCCAATCAGGGCACGATAACGTCGTTCGCAAAAGCCGAGTTTCAGAAGGAAATCAAGAAAACAAGCAGAAACCTCATGGCATTTCAATTTTGGGCGAGCAGGTCTATATCGAGACGCGTCAATTGTGGACCGCCAACGACAATGGGCTGACTTGGCTTGCGACTTCGCAAGAATCCATGCCAGTACACATGCATCTTGAGCCGTTTGAACCAATTGCCCGACGCGAGACAGAACGGGCGCGACTTGAGGTGGCATTTGTGTGCCGGGACGGCCCACGTTTGCTTCCAGAAGCACTTAGCAGCCCGAGGAGTGGGGTACGGCAAATGGCCAGAGCCTGATTCGAACTTCCTCAACCCGTTAGAGGAAGCTCGGCTCCGAAGAGGGCCCATTCAATGAAGCAATTCTTGGATATAGGGCCGCTCTGTTGCCTGGAGGCGGCCGCTCCTTGTTTTGTCAAGTTTTGACTGCGAAAGCTCTTAAAAAGGCACGTCTGGCATCATCGTGAGACCACGAGAGACGAGCAAAAAATTGCGCAGTTTGCCTGGTGAACGGTAAAGCTGGTGAAAGGGACTTTGGTCAACGGCGGTCTGCGGAGTATGTGTGGATACTAACAGGGATCACGCTTTTCAATGCGACTCTCTGTGTTGATCTTGCCTGGTCCGAACACGAAAAGGATATTATTCCCGGTCGGGCCCGGCGAGACCACCGATAAAGCGGGCCCCGTACTCTGGAAGCAAGACGGACGCCGATTTATCGGACCCGGTCTCCGCCAAATCCGTCTCCGGTTTACTGATCATGTCCTCCTAACAGACTTGTTCGCTCTCTGTGGCTTTGTTCAAGCGTAGAAAGGAAAGCTGTGACAAAATCCTGTTTTGCTGAAGCCTAAAGCCCTCGGCATCATGCTTCAACAGCACATTGGCACGACAGCACTGGTCATCAGATAAAGTCTGTCATTCAACGCGTTTTCTCGAGCTGACTGACTTTCTGCTTAACTACACTGCTTGAAATCATATGCCAGCATTCCTTTAAAAAGGTTGAAACCTCGCTGTATAATCCAAATCCTAGAACATTTCGCAGGCGTCACTGGAAGTTGCACTACAGCTGCTGCTGCGACTACCTAATCTACTTAGATAAGAACTGTTACCAGGATTAACTCCGATTAAAGTATCAGTAACTATGACATTATAGATATCAACTCTATCCAACGGAACGATGTCGATCACGCTGTTCAATTCGGCACTCTATCACTTGCAAACTACGTGAGTTTATGTAATCTTTCTTAGTGGGTATGCACGATACCGAAATACATACTTAGGAAAAAGTATTCCATATTATCAAGTCCATGCAGAGATTCCTTGAAAGCAGCCGCAGGCAGGTGATGAGAAATTAATAAAAGTACACAATCGAGTTACAGAAACTGAACATGCTCACGAGCAGTACGATCAATGCTCGAATAATAAACGCGCAGTGAGCTGAACTTGAATACTTTTCATAAGGAAACCGAGGGATGGGTGACGTCGGACTCAAGACTGACTCTTGGGCAGATCAGAGCCCGAAATTTAATAATGAACAAGGTGCAAATCATGCCACGACTACCATTGCGAGGAATATGAGGAAGGAAGAGGGAATAGTAGACACTAAACGTAAAAAGATTCAACAAGTCTACTTAGCCACGTCAATCACGCTGTATCAATCGCCGCGTGCGGCTGGTTTCCGCCTATCCAAGGCTTTCCCGGCTGTTTCGCCTGCCTGTGCTTCACCACCATCCTGTCCATGACGAGATCAGCCAGCTGCAGCAGACTGATGCTGGTGTTGGCCTCCATGGTCGAGAGATGGACGCCAAAGTGCTGTTGGATCCAGGCCGTCAGCTCGACGGCGGCAAAGGAGTCCAGGCCCAGCGAGTTGATGTTCCTTGTCAGCGACAACTGCTTCAGCGGCGTCACTAGCACTTGGTGGACGGCCCTGCCGAGACAGGATGCCAGTAACTCCCGTCGGGTGTCGGTCACGAGCCCAACAGGGGACTCCTTTGCCCAGGAGATGATGTTCTGCGTCTCTTTCTTGATGGCATCGGCGGCACTCGCGCCGCCAAGTCGATCGCTTTCATCAGATACCGATCCCGAACCCTTGGCCATACGGGGATCGCGATTCCATACGACGGACCGGGTTGCTGTGTTGTTCTGCGGATCTTGCGCCAGGCCTACGACAAGCTGAGGCTGAGCGGAAGAGCTGACGGCGATGCTCACGGCCTGTAGGACCGCATCTTCTCCCAAAAATACATAGCCGGCCTTGCGGAACTGCGCCGACAGCGCCTTGTCGCGCGCCACCGCGCCTACATCACCAACGATGCCAAGGTCCAGCACACTAGCTGGGAGGCCGAGGCCGCGGCGGTACAGCGCGAAGGCGTCGAGAAAGGCGTTCGCTGCGTTGTAGTTGGCCTGGCCGCGCTGGCCCACGATGCCGCTGACTGAGCTGAAGAGGACGAAGAAATCGAGCCTGTCTCGCCGGTGGCGGCGCAAAGTGTTGTGTAAGTTCCAGGCACCGCGCACCTTGGGGTCCAAGACGGTGGTCCAGTCGTCCCAGGTCATGTCTGCCAGCGGCCGGTCACGGAGGACCATGGGCATGTGGAGGATGCCGGCGAGCCCGCGAGGGGCAGAGTGATCGGCTGCCCTGACGGCGCGCTCGACGGCCGGGAGGTGTTCTGCGCACCCGCTCACGCGAACGGCGGCGCATCCCATGGACGCCAACTCATCCACCAAGGCAAGCGTGGCCGCTTCGGGCTCGGCGGCAGACCGAGAAAATAGCACGAGGTGGCGTGCCCCCCGTGCGGCCATCCAGCGGCAGACGGACCTCCCGAGCCCGCCGAGGCCGCCAACTAGCAAATAGCTTGCGTCCTCACGGAACGAAACAAGTCCTGGACCGCCAATATCGTCCGCGGTATCCGCTTCCACAGAGCTGGCAGCGTCATGGAGCGATGACCATGTCATCCGAGGAATCAGCACAGTCCCGTCTGGCGTGACACCAAGCTCGCGGTCCATGTCCGGCCTGTCATGCTGCAGGATTTCCGGTTCCAACTCGGGGCCGAGCTGGGTCAATCTTTCGATGATGCGAGCGACGGCGTCGGCCGCGATCCGGACGGGCGTGTTGACTATGTCGAGTTCGATCGTGGTGAAGTCTAGTGCCGGGTTCTCGGTGCGTGCGGTGCGCGTGAGACCGATCAGCCACGCTGGGTCGGGCCGATGGCACAGCGATGTCGATCCTGTACTCCCCAGCTGGAGGGGCGGAAGAAGCCAGACGCGGGGTTGCCGAGCCGCGAGGAGGCTGTCGATGTAGCTTCTGAAGGACTGAGCAGTGAGCTCTTCCTCTGCCGGCGACTGTTCCAGGTGCAGCATCGATACGATGACGGTTTGTTCGTTGCCATCGTCATCAGAAGATAGCGGCTGGCTCCCAGAGTGGCAAACGCGAATCTCGGAGCGTACTTCAGACTCTTGCAAGGCGCTCTGGAGTGACCGGGCCAGCTCTTCGAGTGCGGGTGTTGCGAGTATGATAACGACACGTCGCTGTCTCGAGCTGGCGTGTTTCCTGTGACCGGGCAGCAAAGCTCTCGCCGCATAAAATCCTTTGTTTGTACTATCAGAGGAGGGAGAACGCCGGCGCATAAGTGTGAAGCCGAGCTGCTCCAGCTTCCTGTCGGTCTCAGTCTCAGTCGTGGCCTCGCCACTATACCGGTCGACCAGGAACCATCCCCCAGGATTAACGGGCAAAGGACTTTTATAAGGAGCCGAGATGGAGCACAGCCTGGTAAAGGCGGCGGGCCCATCGACGAGAACAAGGTCAAAACCGCTATGATTTTCCAGCTGGGCCGAGAGGATTTGAGACATGTCCAGCCATGTGGGAGCGAATTTCACATGATATTGTTCGCCCTCTTGCAGAGAAAGCTGAGCCAGACCCAGCTCTGCCGTCGTAGCGGCCGCGTACGTCAGGGATGCCAATACGTTGCCGTTGGACATGGCCTGGGTCTCGAGGGCTCGCATGACGGCGGAGACCAGTGCTACGTCGCCGTCGCGAGCGAAGACGCAGACGCGGACGCGCGGGTTCTTGAAGGCGAGCAGCCGGGCCATTCCAACCACTGAATCGACCATGTCCATATTAACGAGTTCGGCGTCCGGGGCCCATTCAAAGACGGACGCAAGATGGGGCTGTGTTGTCGCCAGAGGGGCGTCTTGGGGGGTGCGCCGGGCCCGCGGCGGTTTGGCCATGAACTTGACGTTTCGCATGGAAAGGCGGGGAAGAATATCATCGTTGTGAGAGCTTTCATCGCCGTTGGCAGTGGCGGTGACGGTGCCTTGAAGGCTTCTACCCTTCCGCACCCAACTGACCTCCGCGCGCATCTTCAGTCTGCCATCCCGAGCCTGAGGGCTGTTCCCCCTATTCTGCAGCAGACGTGTGGTATCTGCTTCCACTGAAATCTCCTCGATGTAGGTTGGTAGCAAGAGTAGGTCGCACTTTTTGCCGAGCCCCTGGCACATGGCGACTAGGTTCAACTGGAGCCCCATGTCCAAGACGGCCGGATGCAGCGCATACCCTGCTTCGTCTTCGTCTTCATCGTAGTCGTAAACACTGGCCGATGCCAACAGACGTGAGGTGGACGCTGTGATGTCTTGAAGGCCCTGCAGCGAGGGGCCGTACGACAGGCCGACCGAGTCGGCGATGGAGTACCACTCGGCGGAGTCAACGGTCCGTGCATCGCCGTCGCCGCCACCGTCCAGGCCGACCCGCCGACCCCCAGTGGGGCCGCAACCGGCGCCGATGCCGGTGCCGCCATGACACGGCTTGCCATTCGAAAATGCGGCCGAAGCGACACCGCCAGCGGCAACCAAGCCTCGGCAGTGGCTGGTCCATTGATCACCATCACGATCTGGCACCAAGGCCATGATGTGGAAATCATACCACGTGCTCTCCGGGCAATTGTCCTCGATGGCGCCGTCGCCCGAGTCTTGGTCTTGGTGTTGAGCCTGCGAGAGCCTCGTGAAGAGCTCGAATGTCGACCCTTGTGGCACGACAAGCGGCGACCTGATAGAGACGTTGCGCATGACGTAACTCTTGTCGGCAACATGGCCGGGCCCAAGCCGATGAACAGCCTCGGCTGCTATGGCGACGAAGCCGGCGGCGGGAAAGACTACCTGGCTGTCGATGACGTGGTGGGTCAGCCATGCGGGCTGGTCTTCGGGCTCCAGAACACAGCGCCAGCACGGCTCGATGTCGGTGGCGTCCGGGACCCGGGCGCCAAGCAGCTCGTGAGGGAGATGCCGCGCGCTCTTGTAAACGCTGGCCACGCGCGGCGGATCCAGATACTGCGTGCCGTGGTGCCATGCATAAGGAGGCAGGTCGGTCAGGCAATGTGGAGCAGGTGAGGCAGACCCATCTGGTCTGAAGATGGACTCCATGTTCGCCTCCGTGAGAGCTCCGCGCACGAACAGCTCCCCCACCGTTCGTAACATGGCCTCGTCGGACCTCTCGCCGCGGCGCAAGGTCGCGATGTGCGAAGCTTGTGGCTCGGTCGTCATGGATGATGACGACAACGTCTCTGCGATAGGCTTTCTGAGTGCGGGATGAGGCCCAATTTCAAGAAGGAGGAGCTGGCTGTTGTTGGTACTGGTGTTTGCCGGGTTGTTGGGCGAGCTCTCGCAGCTAACTAGCTGTTCTAGAGCCTGCCGGAATAATCTACATTCAAGGTCAGCTAATCATTGTTCCCCAGAAGTTCGTTTGTCTGTGCAATCTTCATTGAGACAAGGAAAGAAATGTCGCTTACACGGGCTTCTCGAGGCTGTCTCTCCAGTATCGCGCGCTTCCCACCAGCTTCGCGGCGTCTTCTTCGAGCGACCCCGAGATGCTGCTATACAGCGGAGGAGAATCCAAGGGTCGGCTGCTGGTCTCTAATCCGTCGAGAAACGGTCTTAGCAGCTCCTCATACCTGAGCGCGCTCGGCCCGACGTGATGGGAGTGGAAGGCCGTTCGGACCCGGAGCGCGTGGCAACGGATCCGCGGGTCCGCCTCGACAACCTTTCGAAGGGTTTCCTGTACCGCGTCCGCATCGCCAGAAACGGTCGTATTGCTCGGACTGTTGTGGCAGGCAACGACAGCGCCGGGACTGAGAAACTTTTCAGCCTGCATGGCTCCCAAGCCGATTGTGGCCATCATGCCCGGCTGTCGCGGCTGCGGCTTGCCATTCTCATCCCGCAGCTCATCCAGTACCAGACCGCGCAGATAGGCTATGATGATGGCCTTGCGGGCTGAAAGGACGCCTGCCGCATAGGCCGAGGCGACTTCGCCGCTCGAGTGGCCGACAACGGCCGCGGGCAAGACGCCCCAGGCCCGGAACATGTGGACTAGACCGATCTGGACGGCGGTGCAGCAGGGCAACGAGTATCTAGTCTCCTCTATGAGGCTGTCCGGAGCTGGTTTAGAAAGCTCTTCTGTGTTGAGTAAGCGGCGGGTTCATTTCAGTTTAATGCAGGGACAAAGACGGACGCGAAACCAAGCCCGGAAAACAATCACTCCATATCGGACGCCGTATTCGCTGACTTATGAAAATGTGCGAGCGGCTTACCAAAAAGAGTCCATTTGGGTGCCAGAGCCTCCGGTAGGGTCTTCAGGCACTGGTCCAGGTAGCGGATGCTGTCGGCAAACACATTATTATCGTGGAGCAGCTCGTAACCCATACGAACCGACTGAGCGCCCTGGCCCGTGAAGACAAAGGCGACGCGGGGCGGCGGCGTCTTGTCCTGAACCTGTCCGGAATGGCCTGCGTCGCCGAAAGTCAGCAGCCCGCTCTCGGCTGCTTTTGTCTCGTCCTCGTAGTCGTTTTCGGCCTCTTGTTGCACTCGAACCACAGTATACGTCCGCAGAGGGAAGTGATGGCGTCGGCAACCGAGCGTGTAGGCCAAGTCATGGAGAAGACTGCTCAAGTCATGACGCGAGGCGGGCAGGCGTTCTAGAAGGTAGTTTCGATGGTTGAGAACCTGCTTCTGCAGTGACCAAGGGTGGGTGGCACTGGAAAGGAGCAGGACGCGGGCCGCCTCGGTGGGAGCCCGAGGCACCAGAGATTTGGACGGTCTGCCGTCTTCGACAATGACGTGGGCATTGGAGCCGCCTACTCCAAAGGAGTTGACGCTGACCCGTTTCTTGCGGCCGTCGGGCCACGGCAGAGGGTCGACTGGGACCCGGAGCTTGGCCGCCTGCCAGGGAACTATAGATAAGGTGAGCCACGTGGTTTAGAATGTGAGGCGAGGGTAAAAACGAGATGGAGAAAGAGAGTGAATGCCAAAGTGAAAGTGAGAGTGAGTGGAAACGTTTAAGGTGAAAGTGAAGGTAAAACGTAAGGGTGAAAGTGAGTGTGAAGGTGGGAATGAGACTAAGTGTAAAATTAAGATTCAGAGTCGAGTCGAGAGTGAAAAGAGAAGCTAGTGTAATAGGATAGTGATGATGAAAGTGATAGTGAAAGTGAAAGCAAGAGTAAGAGTGAAAGAAAGCATGAGACTGAGATTGAAACGTACTGAGAGGGTTGGGCGTGTTGAAAAAGATATTTGGCGGTATCACGCCGTGCTCTAGCGATAGCACGGCCTTAATCAGGGCCGTTAGACCAGCAGCGCCCTCCGAGTGGCCGACGTTGGGTTTGACGCTGCCAACGATAGTGCCGTCGCGGCCAAAGACGTTGGCGACGGACCGCATCTCGATGGGATCGCCGACGGCGGTGCCTGTTCCGTGACACTCGATCCACGCCGTGTCCCCGAACTGCGAGTCCGGGATGCCCGCCAGCGCGTACGTCTTGCGGATCAGCAACTCCTGCGCCGCAGCGTCCGGCTTGAGCTGCCCGATCTTGCGGCCGTCATGGCCCGTGGCGCTGGCTCGCACCAGCGCCCGGATGGGGTCGCCAGCTCGCTCGGCGTCCGAGAGCCGCCGCAGGAAAACGGCGTTGACGGCCTCGCCGCGGCCGTAACCGTTGGCGGCTGCGTCAAAGGTCCTGCAGCAACCCGAGGGGCTCAGAAGGCCCTGCGCCGTGTACAATAGCGTCATGAGTGGCGAAGTGATGAGGTTGACGCCCAGCACGACGGCGGCGGCGCACTCTCCGGCACGCAGGCTGTGACAGGCCATGTCGAGCGCCACGAGGCTGGCCGAACAGCCCGTCTTGACGACAATGCTGGGTCCTTGCCAGTCCATGGCGAAGCTGACGCGGTTCGCCTGGAGGAAGTCGAGGAAGCCCGTTCCGCGGTACAGGCCGGCCAGCTGGCTGTCCATGACGTTCTCCTGGAGCCAATCCTCGCCGAAGACGCCGACAAAGACGCCGACATCCTTGCGTGCGGCCAAGTCTAAGGCCGTTTCTTTCGTGCCGGTGCCGACGCCGCATGTGGTGGTGATGCTGGTGTTGCCGCCAAACAGGTTCCGGGCGGCGCCAGCGTTCTCGGCGCACTCATAGGCGACCTCGAGGAGCTGTCGCTGCATTGGGTCCATGCGGGAAGCCTCTTTGGCGCCGACAGGGAAGAAGCTGGGATCAAAGTCGCCCATCGACACATGGTTGAGAAGGTATGCCTGCGGTGCCTGGAGGGTGTTCTTGGCGGGCGTGTCGCTCTGGAAGCCGGCGGCGTCGAACCGTCCGGTGGCCGCGGGAGACCTTTCTTTGTCGCTGGTGCCGTTGCTGCTGCTGCGCGGCCAATCAACCAGCCCATTGCGCTTGGCCATCAGCATGTCCCAGAACTCAGCCGGGGTGCGCACCTCGCCGGGCAGGCGGGCGGCCATACCGCAGATGGCGATAGGCTCCGGAGTGGCGGCCGGCGCCATGGTATGGATTAGGGGTGAATGGATGTGAGTGATTACCTCGGTGTTTGATGATGGCAAAGAGCGGTGGAAGGTAAGGAACCGATGAGTTATGGTTGCTAATTAGTCTCCTGCAGTGGGCAAGTAGGACAATGGCAATTTAAGAAGACTGGTCGTAGGTATGCGTGGTTACGGTCTGCCGAATTAATCATTTACGTCATGGTATGAGATACAGTAGAAGTAGTAATAGTTTACCATAGCCAACGTACGAACAAGCAAAACCTTTACCTGTTGTTATTCTATACTAACAACAGCGCAGCTGGTGGAGCTCCACACGGTGTGTTGATCGGAATAACACCTCCAACCCCGAATCACCATGCTGCTGCTGGTTCTTCTCAAACAGCTGCCCGTTGATTGAGTTTGCTATATATGCTTTTGCCTCCGCTGATACTCCGATGGGCCGGAAGTTTCTCAGTAACCACTTCTGGGGTGCCTATGTTTTTCTACGCCGAGGCCACAACGGGAGTGGGAATCTAGGAAAGCTGAAGAAAAATAGTCCTTCCGTGCATAAGATTCTGTTCGCGAGTACATTCAGCTACTATTACAAATGCGCCTTCTCTAATCATGAAGTAGTGAACCGTCATGAGCGCCGTACTTAGGTACTAATGTATTCGTTACTTAGTGCATCTAAATTCTATCACCTATCACCTTATTATGTTACATGTTCTTCAAACCTGTCCGGTCAAGCGGCGAACAGTTAGTCCATAGTAACCAAATAGCTTTGGTAAAACAGAAGATTATAATTGGGCCCCTATTGAGGCCTTCCTCTTCTACGGTACGGGATCTACACGTGATTGATGTGAAAACGCCTGGAACTGAAGGGCTCAGGGCACCTACTTTCCCCAACTCTCGGAATGTACCGACTTGTAGTAGGATCTCATAGCCTCTCAATCCATTTACAGCCCAGTCACTATCCATCCATCTTTCAGGGCAGAACGTGGTCGCACAAAATGAGCAAGAGAGAAGGGAAAAAACGAAAACATTTCAGGGCAAAACCGTACGCCACAACCTGCCGAACGCCCCTTTGAGAGCAGCGCCTCCCCGAGCCGCGTCCACGCTGCGCTCTTCGTCCGCGGCCCACGCGCGTAGGGAGTCCCAATCCCGGCACCACGCCTGCTGCCCGTCCGTGAGATGCCCGGACGCGAAACCGTTCACGAAGGAGAGCGGCGTCGCGTCCGCCGTGCATTGCACAGCGTCCGCCAAAACGTTGAGGCAGTAGGCCACGTGCTCGGGCGGCCAGTGCCAGACGTCGTGGTCGTCATCTTCTCCCTTGTTCCCGTTGGTCTTGGTCTTGTGTGTGGCGTCTGTGATGTTCGTTTGACGGTTGATGCTGGTCCCGTAGGCTTCCAGTAGGACAATCTGTCACGAGATCAGGTCAGAAGAACAGGGGAAGATGCGGCGCCAGCAAGCGGGAAAACACGGTAAACTTACTATGCAGCGCATTTGGTATAGGCCCCGTATGAAGTAGACTTGGTCTTGGCCCATGCTAGGCGGCGTGAATGTTGCCTGCAAGGTGGACTTGCTGCCGTCATCATGGACCCAGCGGGCGTGACGGCCGTTGATGCGGACCGCCGAAGCTGACTCTCTTTTGATCAGAGACTCTTCCCATAATTGCCGGGCGGGAAGGGGATCGTCCGTCACTCACAGTGCGTCTGTACCAGCCTCTCGACGGTCTCTCTCGTCTTAATCTCGTTCGCAAACACGTTGTCCGGTATGTGGTACGGATTGCTTTCGTTACGTACAAAAGTCCTCCAGCGCGGCGGCGCGCCCACAGAGGCCGGGACGAAGCCGTTTGGATCATTCCCAAGAGGCGCCGCGAGCCAGAGGCTGACCTTGGCCGTCGCCAATACCAGGATTGTCATAGCTAGGGAGTAAACACACAGTAAGATGACCAAGAAGCATCCGCACCAGGTCCTAAGACCGTTCTTTGGTCTTAAGTTGTGGCCGTCCAACGACATGTCGACCACTTCGGAGGGCGACGACGTGGAGAGGCTCACGTAGGCGACATTGCCCAGCCGGTCGCACTTCCAGAACCGCATACTCCTGAAGAACTCTTGTGCTACTCAACACAAATGCCCCATAATCCAAGTACAAGCGGGTGACGGAGCTATGTTCACCAACCTGCTCCTCCAATAAGCTTCCAGCTTAGTTAGTGATACTGGAAGAGGTGTTCGTTCCAGAACGGTTCAGAACAGTAGTCCGCCGATCCACACGGCCCCTGCCCACCGATCGAACTACCCGTAATTTTGTTGCTCCCTGAACAGAGTCATCGCCATCAGAAAGCCTGACAACCAATAGCGCTGCTAGTGACAAGGTTCTCTTGCGATAGGTCAGCGGCCCGGCGCTGCCCTGACCAGCGAGCAGCTTTAGGTTCCGGTCGGCCCCGTAGCTTAAAAGCCCGTACAGCCCCACTCCCCGGGAACTTTAACTTAATTATCGGCTCGAAATGTTTCTTCTACGAGCGGTGAAGGTAGTCGCCGATGTCAATGTATTCGCTGTGGCGGTGAGCGAAAGGTCACCCGTTGTGGACTGGCAGGAAGACGTCAAGAGGTTCAGTTGTGTAGTCTTCAAAGCTAAGTAAGGAGCAAGAACAAGTCGAAGGCACAACAGAGTGATAGAATAGAACCTACCTTATGGTGTTCTTTGGGAAAAACACCATTATGCATTGGAGATCGCAACAAGATGAATCCGATTACCACTCATTCTCAACTCCAGCCACGGAGGCAGTAGCACTCAGCAGCCGCCGAAGGCGGCCTATACTAAATACAGCATCGACTTGTGTCTTACTGCTGGCGTTAGTCATGACCACAGCATGGCTCTACAATATGCTCCGCGATACGGTTATGAAGGGAGGTCTCTTTCGAAGCTGCAATAGCTGTCCGCAGCTCGACATGTCCGGGTACTTGTGCGCACCAAACGGCGCCAGGCCAGAAGTTGCATATGAGCGTGGATGCGCGTGGGATCCCATCAGCTTCCACTGGTACCGGCGTGAGCTTGTCGAGGACCCTGACAACCAGGAGCTGATCCGCGGGTTCCTCGACGCGGGGCCATGGCACCGGTTCTACGACGCCGAGGGCACTGTCGAGGTCGACCCGGCAAACCGCGTCCTGACGACTCTGTGGTTGACGAAGCGCGAGCACGTCGTTCACTGCATGTATACACTGCGTCAGACGCACCTGTGGCTGACCAAGGGCTTCGATCCGCCCTTCAACTACAGCCACACCATCCACTGCACGTCGTACCTAGTCAACATCATTCTCGAGAGCCCGGTGCCAGATATGGACAAGCTGACCGTCCATGCTGTGCCTTACCCTTCAGACTGGCAGCTAGTGAGTACCCTATAGCTCCCGAAATGATTTCGAGCTTAACACGAACACAACCGTAGGTCAAGCCTAAATATCCATGTGACGAGGAAGGGTTGAGCTGCGTATCTTGGTGAAGAAGAACCAAAGCGAGAAGGCAGTGTGATGGTGGAGGCAGAGCTCCGGCCTGTCTGAGTCTGGATGAACAGGTCACACCCATCTACAAGTTCAACGTTCATGCATTCAAGACCAAACGAAACATCAACTTGATTGATTGGGGTATACAGAAAGTACGTAGACTAAGCGCCTGTAAACCCTTAAAGGGTTTGGGCGTGATATCTCTCGATACCAAGCCTAGTCGCAAAATGAACATTTCTTTTCATCCACTAGAACTTGACTGATTTGTTAGGATATGATTATGTATCCTCAACTCTAAGATTTATCAGCACAGGAGAGCAGCAACCATGGCAGCCACGGCGGCGGGAGCAAATAGAAATGCCGTTGTGTTGCTAAGTCCCATGTCCATGTGTTCGATCCCCAAACTAATGAGGCCGCTCGTCAAGACAGCCAGGCCCTGACCCACTGTGATGGCCATCTCGTGGATAGAAAAGAGAGTGGCCGACGACCGAGGGGTGGATTGGTCACCGCCCTTCTCTTCGTGTACCACGGCTGTCTCGTACGAGATGATGGTAAAGGGCACCCATACACTCAGGGGCGAAATGATCATAATGCTGGCAGCGCAGATGGGCGCCGCCGGGAACGAAGCCCGGAACACGACCGCGGCCAGCGTCGACACGGCCAGCGCCGCGAAAGCCAGAGCCCACACGCGCCGCAGCGCCACCATGTCCTCGTCCATGAACCGTCGAAGGGGCTTCGTCGACGCTGACGACGCGTCCCACAGCCGGACGACCGTCATCTGCAGGAGAATGGCGCCGACCTCAGCGATCAGAAGGACGCGGACGCTAGCTCGTGCGCTGACGTCCGGCGCGACAGCTTCGGAGCCCCTTCCAAGAGTGGCAACATCTGGTTTCCATTTGGTCAGCCCGAAAGAACGGCGGAGCAGAGAGAAGCACTCAATATCAGGGCTTGGGGCAAGGTAACAGCTTGCTTGCTGCGGAAGGGCGACGGTGATTGACATACAGCTGTCTTGAAGGTATTTGCTCAAGTAGTGAGAGACGGGGAACCACGCATACTGCGACAGGATCTGGATCTTGCATGTGCGGTTGATCCATGGTGGAAGATGTCGCGCCGCATCCCACAGCGTCCGCGGCACCGACAAGATGGCTGACACCGCCCCGAAGCGGTCGTTTTCTCCCCGGTCAACGGCCTGGCGATCCACGCCGGGTGGCTTGTGGACAGCCCATAAGGGAAAGATGCTGAGCGTGATGAGGATGGCGCACACAGCGGTGATGGCCTTGAAAGAAGGCGTCACGACGCCGACGACAAGCGTGATGATGGCCCCTGAGGCGGACATGAGACCGCTTGCGAGGTTGAAGACTGGCTGCTGCCGGGGTGGGATGTTGTCGATAGCCATGGCGCGGTAGCCAACGACGGAAGCACGCGCGCTGATACAGCCCATGTAGACGGCGGCAGCGCTCACCCATTTTGTAGCGGCCGGGTTGCCGCCGACGAGGTCGCGGGACCACGCCAGGATGATCTGGCAAGCGGCCATGGCAATGCAGCCGGTTGTGAAAAGGCCGAGGCGGCGGCCGGAGCGGTCGCTCAGGACGCCCATGATGGGTGCCACCGTCAGGCCAGACAAAGGGCCAGCGAGGAGGACCAGCGAGACTTGGGAGACGGCAAAACCAACCTCTAATGTGAGGTATGGCTGAAATGAATCAATTGCAAATCAGCTTGCGGTCCTTTGATTTCGTGATTCAACTAGCGTTTCATTTCCTCCGACCGACTTACTATTAGGTAGACGGTAAACATAGTGAAGAAGGATTGAAGACTGTATACATGCTCAGCTATTTGTCACACATTTCATTACTCCCACGGAGTTTGCCGTGTGGTATTACTGACGGCATCGAGGGCGCAGAATAGGCCAAGATAACCCAGAGACTGGTGTGAGGCCTCTCGCCAGCCGGCGTATTGGCGGATACATCGGCGGATGTGCTTGCGCTGCCCACGACAAGGGGAATGTCGACGGGATGGTCAATTGATTCGAAACTCTTCATTCGTGCAATAGAGGGGGGCTGAACAGTGATAGGTGAGTAGCCAGTCTCCTTCTCTCTCCCTGCGTACGTGTGTGCGCGCGCGTGTGTGCATGTTTGTGTTTAATGTCTTTTGATGAGAGTTGGCTGGTCTCGGTTCCTCGGGGGGATTTAACGTTTGAAGTAAAATCAGACCAGCCGTCCCATTTCGTTCGCTCAACTCTGATCTTAGATCAGTACCTAGTTAATAAACCACCCCGCTTTTGGCCCGTTTACACAAGACTACAGGGTTGTAAAAACAGACACTCGACTCATTCTATATGGAACATTTCTTCAATGAGACAGGTCGTCTGTGTTTGATAGTATATGGTGTTTTGACGAAGCACGACGAGTAAAGTGATCTCAATCTCAACCACCGGAGACCCAGGTCGAAGGCACACGGGTATCAGACAAACGAAGGAAAAAACGATGGTAAACTTCATACGGAGGTACCTACTGGTATGCCCGTCTTTCCTGGCTTTCGTTGCTACCAAACACAAAAACCGACTGACAACGATTCGAATCGGTGTAAAGAAAGAGACGTTGAGCGGCGATGCGCCTCTGTATAACCGGCTGGACGATGATGAGAGCGGAAACAGAAACTTGGTCAGCAAAGAGCAACTCGATCGGCCCTCTACTAATAAGTCGGTGGCAACAAAGCTGAGCTTCTTCATCTTGGGATTCCTTGTGGCCATGACCATCAGTGCCATCATTGCCTTTCTCGTCCCTGTGGGTTTGCACGACGGTCTACGTTGCGCGGAATCTCCGTAGCATTCAGAATGCAAGGATGAGTTGGTGAGAACACTGTATATGCTACGGCGAATGGATGGAAGAAATATCTTTCGCAAATGAAGGGCTTCGCGTGCCTAAGACATCGTGTCAAGAATCATATAGCTGAACCAGAAGCTTGCCCATGATCTTGCCACAGCGGAAAAGATCCCCAAACGCCTCGGCCGCCTTATCCAGTCCGCGGACTACATGCAGCGGCGCAATCCTCGGGAGCCCGCCATCCTTCTCTATGCCCTCATCCATTTGCTGCTGGAAGCTCGCTATGTACTTGCCGGCCAGATCAGTGATGAGGAACCCACTGATTGTCAGCCTCTTGTAGACGACAGGTTGCCAGAGCCACGGAGAGTCCGGTGTTGTAGCGCAGCCAGGCTCGTCGTCGGCACCTCCAATGTTGCCATACTCGTTGATGGCGTCGCACACGACGATCCGCCCGTGGACCTTCATGCAGGCCGCTGCCGCGCGCAACTGGGCACCGCCAACACTTGCAAAGTGGATGTCGAGCCCTTCCGGGGCGGCGTGGCGCAACAACGACTCACCCGTCTCGTGGCTATCTTGGCGGTTGAAGACAAAAGCATCGTCGAATATGCCAGTTTGTCGGAGCCAGTCGACCTTGTCGATTGAGCCGGCCGATCCCACGACCCGGAGCCCATCTCGCTTGCTAAAATAAGCCACCGTCAGGCCGACCGTGCCTGCTGCTGAGCTTACGAAGATGGTTTCGCCGGGCTTAGGCCGGCCGCACTCGTAGAGGCCACCGAAGCCCGTGAGTCCGGGCTGGATGTCCAGAGCATGATAGATTAGCGTATCATTCTTCTCGCCCACAGACTCAGTGAAGTGGGTGTGTTTCAATACATGTCATACGCCGAGGAGAAAAGGGATATGGAAACGAGGCCGGGCGCGGAAAAGGGGGAAGAGGTTCTAGAAAGCCCTTTTTACGGCGGGATACTTACAACACCAAGGACACCCAGCCAATGACCCGCATCAAGGCTGTACCCCTTCACACGTCCTCCGATGGGCACCACCAGACGACGATTAGCAGCAACTGACCGCTCGAGGATTACATATTGCGCCAAGGGGACCCTGGCGAGCCACACAGTCTCGCCGACGGGGAGGTCATGGACGGCGTCGGACCGCACGACGGTGCCTACGGCGCTCGTGCACAACGGCTCACCAACGGGCAGCGCGGGAGTGTAAGTCCAGGCGGAGGAGGAGTCCCTGAGCTGCGAGCGAAGAAATGGGTCAAGAGAGGCCAGCTGAATGCGGACCAGCACGCCCTCCCCGTCGGGCATGGGTAGCTCTTTCACCACTAGATCTTTTCCTGGCTGGGGAAAGTGCCCAGAGGGCATTGAGCTGAAGATGAGTGTCGGATTAGACATGTTAATGGCGTCGTAACCTCGCGGGTTTGGCACGGCATGTAATGATGCTCCCAGGGCGCGAGAGGTAAGTTAAGGTGACGTAACTGTCTGCGCAAAATGGACTCTGCTGCTAGATTATTCTGTCCCCCAAGTCAATGACATGGACGCCATGTACATCATATCAGATGATGGCTAAGCACCTGCTCTGCTGCTTTCACCCTTGCCTTGGGCCAAACAAGTTCAAGTTGGGGCAGCCGGATCATCACGCATGGTTGTAAAATAGACTTCGAGAATTCGGCTCCGGTGTTTATTTTGTAAGCCTCGTAAACTCTACGGCACAGTCCCAGCGGCTACGAAGCTGTCGACGCCTTATTGGACATCTAAACGATCTATAGTATGTCATGAAAAGTAGTGCAGCAGCCAAACTTATTTGCGGACACCAGAGCTCGACTATCATCAAATTCAGTTGCAAGGTAGGTCAATTACGATGGCTCCATCGACCAAGACTTTGTATGAGGCCCTCAACACCACAAGCCGCGACGACATCACTGACGACGACAACGACTCCGGCGACGGATGCTGTTGTGATTGCGGTTGCCACAATAGAAGAGGGGCATTGGAAAGACGTATCCCTGCCCGCACCATACTGTTCTTCGCCCTCGCTGTCTGCACAATCGCCGCGTGCGCCTTCGCCCTCGGCGTCAAATCTTATTTAAGAATCTCACAGCCCGTGATCCCATTGGGTGCTGACCCATGGGGCCTCGTCCCCCAGGGTATCTACAGATCATGACAAGTCCATTACACCACTGTTCTTCACAGAATGTATACGACTGACCCAAAGCAGAGGTGGGCCAGCCGGCTTCGTGGCGGTCATTCTACAACGACTCCCGAGACCCTTACTGGATGGACGAGGACACTTTCGACAGCTTGGATGTCATCAAGCGCGTTGTCAGACGCCTCAAGTGGCTGCAGAATTGTAAGCACGTCGTCCCATCACGTTTGCCCGTCGTCATCGTTATCGGACGCCGATCCAACTAACAGGTCTTGTTTCAAAATGGGCAGCCACAAATATACGTGCCAACGGCCAGAAAACTAGATACCGGGATTGGGGCGGCAGGGAGAACATGTTACCGTCCTACCATGGATCCACGCCTACCGAAGTGTTCGGCATACGATCTTTCCATCAAATTCATTGCATTGTATGTATAGCCTGCTCTTTGATCCACCGGGTAATGAGGCTGACCCTGTGTCCCTTCTCCCACACTCAGATTGTCATGGTTGAGGACTACGGCCTTCGCCTGCACGGCGAGCCCTCGCACTGGACGCCAGGCCACATCATGCACTGCATCAACACGATGCGGCAGCTTACACAGTGCATGGCTGATGCCACCCCGATATCTCTCGTTCATGGCGCGGAGAAACACCTCGGCGACGGTCAGCAGATGTGGTGCCGCGACTTCGACGGCCTCCGCCGTTGGGCTAACGCCCCGGAGCGCGGCCTCCGCTACGCCATCGTCTCGCCCCCGGGCGCTAAGGAAGTTTATGACGAGATATGGCCTTATCCGGGAGACTCAGGCCCGCCGGCGGACTTGTGGTAAGCCCTAAGCGAGGACTGTTCATACAGATCTTGCGTCACGAAGTTCATTTTTTAATGCTGGAAAAGGCTAGAAAGGATCGATAGATGATATAAGCCGGCCTCGTAAGCTTTTGACTATTAATTGCGTGTCACCCAGGAAGTCTGGGTGTCCAGTCCATAGTTGTGATCTAGCTGCTGGCAACGTCGTCCTCTCTATGATGCAACTTGAATTTTGGATTATGGTGTATATAATATAAGTCAGATACATGGTGTTGCGGGTGTTCATTTGGAAATCCCCTTATTGTGAAATCCCCTTATTGAAAAGTGGTTAACCTCACTCACACGTTCTCCTTATTAACAGGAGCGAGTATCCGTTTGGTTTAAAGATGAAAACCTGTTGTTTATTTGCTTGGCACTTAAAGGAAGGCTCACTCGTCCGTAATTTGATGTGGGACCTCTATCACTGGAATTTTCAACCTGTCCACGTCGATGGGTCTATACTTTTGAACTGACTGAAAGACTTGAGAATGAAATTCTATTTTCTATAACATAAGTGATAAGCAGAAATAAGTTAAGTAAAAAGATTCATACTCAGAGTAGTTGTATTTCAGAGAGAAACTTGAACTTGAAAACGTTTAGATAGAATGGGTAGTTTTATACACAATCACTCATCTCTTCCAAAACCACCTTTCCATCCATGATGTTGAAAAACACCCCTCGACTTCACATGATGACAAAACCCTGGCCAAACATGTAACAACCAAAACACCTCTTAATACTATCAGCGTCAGTCCAGGCCCTTCCAACCACCCTCATCACGGCACTTAGTCAAGTCACACTCCTCCGACAACCTAGAAACAGCCGTCACGTTAAGACCCGAATCATAGTGGAAGGGCAGGGCACGTATCGGGTCCTCAGCCCATCGCACAAGAGCGCGAAAGTCGCGGCACCGCGGCACGCTGCTGGCCCAGCTCGCGCGGCGGATCTCGCTCATGGGCACACTGCCGAATGGCTCCTGGTAACCCTCGGCCGTACTGTCTGCAGAGCAGGCAATGGACCTATACCATTTGTTGAAGCAGTGAATAACGTGGTGGTCGTTCCACAGCGGGCGGAACCCGTTGACGAGCAGGCCGTAATCGCGCAGCATCTCCATCATGCAGTGCATCTGGTGCAATCCTGATATGACATAGGCCTCGGTGTTGTTGATGGTGATCTTGGGATAAAGGAATTGCTGCCTGCCCGAATCGTCAATGTAGACGCCGTACTGTGAGTTGGCCTTCACCCCTGTGGCTACATTGGCGTACTCTAGCTCCGCTATTCGCTGTTCCATCAGTGATACGTTGTTGAAGATGTCGTAGGGAATCGGCTCGGGCACGTAGTAGCCGTAATTCAGGGGATCTGTGGCCGCGGTGACATGGTCAGGAACTAGCGGCTCGATATTTGACCAGGCTCGGGCCGCCGCGAGCACCATTGTCGGTTTGTAAAGACATGCCTGCCGCTGCGCCTCCAGGGCCCAAACAATGATGGCAAGGCAGAAGATTATCGCCCACTGTATCCACAAAATGGATTCGGCAAAGACTCTTATGGAGATTTTCGTCCGTTGTGGAACACTTGTCTCCCGAGAATCAACATGGTCGGTGCGTAGTTGGCGTTGACAGTTGTGACAGCTGAGGAGGCTATCCCTCTCGCTCAAAGGGGCTGCGTTGTTGTCTGGATGTTCCTCTGACACTACGCCGCTAGTAAAGTCACCGCGGCTAGCATCAGTCATTGTTCTTGGTGGCCCTCCAGAAGTCTGAGGGCTTGCTTGAGGGATTCAGTTGTGGATAGTATCTGCAGAGGGCCAATGCCTTTGTTTCAGCCCAGCTCAGAAATGCCCAACTCCGCGTGGACGCGAGAACAAAGCTAACAGGGAATGTTTAGAACAGAATCAGAAACATACGTTCTCATCAGCAAACAGGGCGTAGTGATGTCCCGGCGTGTCAATGACAGCTGTGACAAGCTCCGGCTGTGTCTCGCTCCATCCAAGATCGAATTGATGGCGCTGCGCGTCCAGCCTGCACAAACCAAGGTTTCGGTCTCCGGTAGGGTCGCGGTCTCCGAGATGCTCGGGCTGGCCCGAAATCGGATCCGTAGCCTTGATTAGCACCGCCCGTGGAACCCGGCGGCAGGCCCATGAGGGCGGCAACCACGACGAGCAAAGCATGTGGCAGCGAACCAGCGAGACCAGGATTTCGTCACGGGTGTCAGGCGTTACGTTGGCGGGCATTGAGGGCGCAAGGTTAGAGTTTGCGCCGGAGCCGAGAGAGCGGGACGGCGAAAGGTAAATAGTATCGATTAGAATCAGGCCTGAGCACACGAGGCCTCGGCCTTCTGCGGCAAGCATGTGGGCCATCTGAATGGCGACGATGCCCCCAAACGACCACCCTGGTTACTTGTCAGATTGTGTGCAATGTCTGTCAAGCTTTGCGAAGTGTTCATGAACTCAGCAGCGTAAGTGTGCGGGAGCGGGAGGATTGAGTGAAATCTTAGACGGGCGAGCGGGGAGTACGGGTAGCATTGCATGGCTCACCTCCTAGAAGAATGTCTCCCCGGAGCATGACTTTCTTGACGAGTTTGATATAGTGCCGAGCCAATTGATCGACGCTCAGCCAGCTACCGCCTTCATGCCCGAAGTGAGGATCGCTAATGCCGTATACTTTGCGAGCGTCCCCCAGAGAGCCCAGCTTGAGGTAGCTTAAAATGTTGCCGCTAGCATCGTGGATGAGGAAGAGAGGAGCTGCGAGCGATCTGGCGCTGCCGTAGCTTCGACCTGCCGTCGAGTTCTGAATGAGAAAGGGATTCTTGCTCGTTGCCATTTCCATAAGGACGAGAAAGGAGGATACCAGGGTCGGTGATACCCATGTAACGATCCAGAGGTCTGGGTTAGCCGACTGGTCTCTTGTATATTGCGCAAGCTTGTAATCGACCAACTGCCAGCCATACAGAAACGTTCCAAGTATGGTAGAACCACATTTTCAACTTCGTCTTTTTTCTGCCTCCCCGAAACGCGGAGGCCGGGTGCAAAGACCAGCTGCTCATTCTAAACGGAGGTGCTTGTTTTCGGACAAACGGGAGCACATGAGCAAACTTTACTTGGTAATTTCCACACATGCACGAAATGGCCCTCGCCTTGGCTGGTATTGAATGGATCGCAAGGATACCAGAGGTACTTACTCAGCTACTACTATACATAGTGCTGTTGAAGACTACAAACACCTTGGCCAAACGTTATCTTTGTGCCACCAATTGAGAATCACTTTCCAATACATAATAACCGATCTGAATATTAGACGAGCAGTCCAGGTGACGTGTGCATTAAATCCTACACCTATGTGATAAATCTAATGTTTTATTACCGTTCAGAACTCTGGTGCGTAGCAACACATAGCTAGATTTGGCAACCTGATCGCCTCCTTGTGCTGAGACGAGCCGGCCGCTTCAATGAATCAGGTCCTCCGATGAATCTCGGACTTTTGATAATTTAGAGATTCAAGTCCTTCTCAAGTTGCTCCACTAAGTACATGCTGCTGGTCGGCGTCCCTGGGTCTGGAGTAGCCTTGGTTGCGCTCCTCGTGAATGATGTCCTTCGTCGCTTCGTAGACCTTGGTCATGACTGCCTGTAATGCCTCGAGCGTGATAGGGTCGCGGGGTCTCGTCCAGCCAAATTTGACTGGCAGGAACTCTTTCTCTGAAAATTACCCTCCGTGTCAGCGTAGCTCAAAGTGACAAGGAGCACAGAAATACCAAATCAGATTAAAATTAGGAGGGCCAAGAGGAGCAGAAGAACAGAGAAATTGAATCTTACCGAGAAAATAGGTCAGCCAAGTGCGATTCACCGTGCCAGCGACCCGGTCTCCCAGGGTCAGGTAGAACCCCGCCACCTCCCCAAGTCCACGGAAATTGTCTTCCAACCTCATCTCGAAGTCGACGTTGGTGCCTGCTGAGGTGCGAATCCGACCAAGTCGGGCGGCAGCGCCCTGTTTCACGGAGACGATGGGGTCGGGCCAGTACTGCAGTGTTTCCTTAAATACCTCGGGGTCGAATACACTCGGATCTCCAGAGCTGTTGTCCGGTCGCCTAAGGCCACCAGTCAGTGTGTCATTTATGTTGGGACCAAGTCTTCTAAGATGTGCAGATGGGGGATGGAATCTCACGTCAGGCTTGCGTCGTGCTCTATGATGCCGTGGCGGTTCAAGTGGTCGAGATCGAACGTGGCGGCGTTTGGGTCAGGGTTTGTCTTGATAGCGTGGTCAAAGAGTAGCTTAGACACGTAGGGATCGACGTTGATGCCGTCCCTCAAGGCACGCGTCGTGATTTCCAGCGATATGCCCCTGCCATTGGCGGGTAGAAAGTCGTGGTTTGCCAACGCATTCAGCATGGGACAGGGGCAGCGGACTGTTATCCAGCAGACTTATCAGCCATCCCTCATCTTCATTTACAGAACAGATTCCAGCCTCATACCGTCCCCAGGGCCTGGAGGGTGCCACCGGTCAAAGGAGCCATCATGGCTAGCAAGAGTGAGAGGGTACAAGAGTGAGAGCAGACGCAGCGATAAGGCCATAGTGCTGTCAACGAGGTCGATAATTAACATAAACAAAGCCAACGGCCATGTGCAACACGTGTTTGGAGTAGATGCTGGCTCTAATATCCAGCGAGCTTCCAATGCATGTCTTACGGCACGATTGGCAGATAGCCGGGTGCTGAAAAATGGTATTGTTGTGCGATTGACAAAGCTCCAGCTGCAATGCCTCGATCACGCAAAACTTATCCCATGTGCAGCAGGCTGTAGGTTCACAAAGCAGCCCCGGACCGGAAAGCTTCAGAAACCAAAATAAAGCTACCTAGGCCGACCAAGGGCCCATATTACTTTTGGATTTTAATCTGGCCTGAAGTGCATTTTTAGAGCGTGTCGCGTAATTGTAATGTGTGATTCTGAAGTACGTTATTGGAGGAGTGAGTAGTTTGGACTAGGAATTGAGAAGAGAATTCGTAGTCGATCGCATGCTGTGAACGCCACATTGGACATAGAGAGTATGAGTCACCTTATTTTCCCAGGACACGCCCGCAAAGTGGCAATTTAGTCTCGAGTATCTCTAAATACCAGCTCTCCAGATGTGTGATATTCAGGTGATAGTAGCCCGGGACATCGGGTAAATCGGGTAAGGGGGCCTTATGAATCTCCTACGGAGAGATCTTTTCGTTCCATACCATCAACCCATCGCTTTACCGACGGGCTTCGTGCTTACTACATGCGCGACGACCTGCACCGGCGTAGCAGTAGTGTCCTCCTCGGTCCCATCCTTGACAAACCAGCTTATGACAGCGATACAGGTGGCCGTGCCGGCCATCAGCCACCACGCGAGACCCCCGTTGCGACTGGCCTGGCTGGCTGCGTAGACGTAACCGACTGCGAATGGGCCTATCGTTCGCGCCACTGCAGACAGGGTCATGGCCAAGCCGTGGGTTGCGGCCAGGGCAGCCGGGCTTGGGGCAGAACTGCGTGACAAGTCCTATCAGCATGTGTTCTCGAGCAGAAGAAACGTAGAATGGGAGGCCGGTATGGGACTCAACTTGTTGGTCATCAAGGTCGCTGAAGGCACCACCATGGCCGAAGTCAAGACCATGAGCAGCTGGACAACGGCGATGACAAGCCACATGAGAATAGGAAACTTGACGGTGACGGCGATGAGAGGAGAGAGAGCAAAGGCTAGAGCCGGGCACCACAGGAAGCACCGCAGGGTGCCGATCGGCTTCAGTTTGTAGCTGACACGCGGGTATACCCAAATCTGCAGTGGAAGCGCGGTGACAGCCAGGATTGTAAGGGTCAGGGCGATCTGGTAAGGCTGGAGACCGGCGCCGCCGGAGAACCGCAGCGGGGACGAGGAGTTCTCTTCTCCCTTCACGACGGCGGACGCGGGGGGATCACTGAGAAACAAAGGCCAAAGGGTGTTGTAACCAGCGGTGAGGCCGTCAAGCATCGCCTGGCAACTGGTCGCGAGAAGAACGTTGGCCGTAAGAGCTTTTCTTAGAGGCAACTTGCTACCCGCGGGGGCAGGCATGGGCTCGCGTTTGCTACGTTGAGCCTCGTCATCGGCCTGTGGCGACAAAAGAGGATCTGAGTCCTGAGTATCCTCTGAGTCCCGCGTGTTAGCGGGCTCGTAGCCAAACTTGAATTCTCCACGAGACCTGTAGCGCCGCCAAAGCCTCATTACAGCCTTCTTGATGCGGATCCCGATGTCAGGTTGGTCTCTAAGGGCAGGCAATGTCTTTGTGATGGGGACACGGTCAGGTTAGCAAATCACACAACCAGGGCGGATACGAGAGACGCGCAGCAACAGCTAATACTAGTGCCAGGGCAGAGCAGAAAGGAACAATAATTACCTCTTCCAACAAGAAGAAGACTGCCAAAAAGGCTCCGTAGATTATCCCACTCGCCATCAGCATGGGCGGTGCATACGTCCAACGACCCAAGAAGTCGTTAGTCGCGGCATGGCTTTGGGCATACGCGACCAAGAGCCCGGCAAGCGGAGGGCCGGCTAGGGCGCCAATGTTAAAGGCCAGAGGCAGCAGAAGAAATGCCTTGACGCGATGTCGCTTGCCAGGCACGATCTCTGGGATCATGGTGCGTACAACGAGCGTCCCGCCGCTGAACGTGCCTTCGATGATGCGGAGAACCATAGCCTGCGCGAAGCTGCGTATGAAGCCAAAGCAGAGGGTGCTCGTGCCAAGGACGGCCATGCTCATCAGCAGGACGCCCTTGCGGCCAACTCGTGGAGAGTCGGCGACCCGGCTCGTGGGCAAGCTGACAAGCGCCACCATGGCCGTCAGAGCCGTCTGCATCCATGTGGCCTGACGCACAATCTCAGCCGATGAGAGCGAGGGATCTAAAGATTGAAGCTGATAGTATATGTAGGTCTGCCTCAGAAGCGCCATGGTCAGCTTTTCTTGCTACTTGAAGGAAACGGGGTGAAACAAACACTGAAGCTTGTCCGCGTGATGGGTTCGGACAACCGAGAGAGGCAAAGCACCAGTAGCTGGTCTTTGTGTGGCATCGTCCTCCATGACGAGCCTTCTTCAAAGGAAACGGCGGTAGTTTGAGCCATGATTGCTATTTGATTTACGGTGTAATAGCAGCAGAGGTGAGAGTTTTGGCTTCGACTTTGTTTAGCGAGCAATACTCAAAATCGTTGCATCTTGAGTGCACATACAAGCAGGGGCAGGCTCAGGGCCAACTTTTGTGATTAGCCTCATGGAAAAGCCATTACAAAGAAACCCCCTCTCGTCTGTTAAGCGGCACCCAAGACCCCGAAGCCCTATCGCACCCCAACGAATCACATTTATCCCTCATAAGACCTCATTACTTGAGTTTGAGTGCGAGAAACTAATACGGAGGACGTCCAAACCTAGCCGTCCGATAAGGAAAACAGGGTAGGACGGCCCGCCACATGCTCCAAGCGGAGAATAACAACAGTCCCATGGTAATCACTCTTTGCCATCTACGCCTTGAGTCCATAATTGTAACATCCAGACATATGGTTGCCCCGCACTCCCCATTCTGTATTCCCAGCTGCACTTCCTCTTAGGTTGAAGTGTCTATCTGGTGTAAGCTTACGAAGGTAAGCTTAACAAAAAGCCTCATCTGCTTACCAAGACTGGCATCGTCTCAATACCTGCTCGCTCATGTCACTAGATGATGGACGAGTTTGAAGAAGAAGATATTCATCTCCTGGAATCTTTCCTAGGCCAAAAGGAGCATAAGGAGCTTCACCGTCGACGGCTATGCGACCTTCTCAGCTGGGAAACTGTGGCTGCCCTCGGATCGGTCTCTGTGCTTGCCGCCGTCTTCTACCTGCTCCGATCTTCGCCTTTCACGGATGGGCGACCTTTCGAGAGTAAACAAGATCCTCTCGCAGTTGGACCGCCATGTGGCCCGTCATGGACGCAGGCTGAGGCCGCTGGGTGCGTGTACGACCTGCTTATGAGTGCCTGGGTTCCCCCGCATTGTCACGACGCAGACCTCTATCGTCAGTACGTGGCGGACGTCAACAGCACTTTCTATTTGGACCGGCAGCAGGAGAGCCGAGTCGCGTGGGACGTCGTTCTGAGCGGCCGCCATCCTGACCCGGGGCTCTGGACCGACGGCGGATTCCACCATCTACACTGCACCTACATCTGGGAACGCCAGCACCGGGCCTATAAGCATGCCGCTGCTACCGGGAAGCCGATGGTTCTTGATTCACACTGCCGAAATGACACGCACACGTCGCACTGCATCTGGTGGAATGGACGTCCGAGGGCGTGGGAGATTGATAAACCTAACATAACACGCATCTATCCACCTAGAGAACCAATTCGATGCCTGGTCGATGTCTAGGTGTGACTCTCCGGGAGAGAAGCTGGGAGGGGAATGTCAGATTTTACTTGTATTGCCATTTGTCATTAGACATATAAAGTAGTGTTGACGATCTCTTGATTGTGAGCGATGTTGTAATAATATGACGGAGAAGTACTCAGATATAACACTTTATTTTTGACATGAGTATGTATTCAAAAACGGCCTAACTCAGAATTGTCCACCAGTCCGTGATCTAGGCTTCTACTAGGGCTGCCACGTGCTTCGTGTCGCCCAACTCACCAGACTGACTTGTCTACCGGCTTCCCAGCGATAGAGCCGTTGCGGTAGATAGGCATGAAGTGGTCTGTATCGTTCGAGTCCAGCTCATAGTGGAAATTGTGGTCTCGCACCGGGTCGTTGACCCAGTCAACCAGCGCGCCGAAGTCGCGGCACCAGTTCTGCTGGCCATCGGTGCGGTGGCCGTCCGGCACGACGTAGGCAAAGGGGCGGGAGTCGGCGAGGCAAGTCGCCGCCTGCGTCATCGTGTTGAGGCAGTGGGCAATGTGGTCGCCGTCCCACTGCGAGGGGCGGTTGTGCCGTGCCCAGCCGACGGATTCGAGAAGGACATACTGTAGATTGTCAACATAGAAGGAACGTCAGACCAATTTACGGTCTACCGTACGTACCACGCAGTGGATCTGATGAAAGGCCTGGATGCCGTATAGCTCGAGGCCGAACTGGCCGGCCTCGGGAGGCAACTCTTTGCGGACGCCATCGTAGGCAAGATATGTTGCTTTTTGGCCATTGGAGTGAATAAAGACGTCTGTCGCTGGTTAGAGAACGAGGCCGAGCTGGATGTGATGCGCATACCATTGTGGACGGCTCTCAGGCGCTCTGCCGACTCTTGTATGTTCTCCCAGCTGTCGAAGGTTTTGGGGGATATGTAAAATTGGTCTTTCTCATCCCACTTGGTCCAGCGAAGTGGATACCCAATATCTGGTTCGTTTCATCAGTCATACTCACAGTAAGACCACAACACAAGTCCTTTTGATTTCGCTGTACAGGTGTTGAGAACTCACTTCGTGGAACATAGCCTGAAGGATCAGTCCCTAGAGGAAAGGCGCCGCATCCCACATCGACGTCGTGCATCGTGAGAACTCGCGGCGTGCGACCAAAAGCCAGATACACGTTGAGGCAAGCAGAGACAAGAAACAGCAGAGAGATCAGGTGACGATAGTGACCTCGGTGACCATGCCTCTCTGCTGTATCGAGATAGTCCACGGTCAGGCCCGAGTCACCCCTCTGTTTCCACTTGACGAACTCGGCATCATTCAGTAGCAACGTGGTGTCGCTGGATATGGAATCGTTGCCCTTCTCGTCGGAGCTGCGACGCTCGTCCGCCTCTTCCTCGGAGTAATGGGTGTGGCGTGGCATAGCAAACCTTGGGCGCAAGTTGCAGTCGATAATTATCGGTAACTACACTACAACAAGCGGATAATCGTGTAAAATATCGCCAATAGGTCGAGACGTGAGACAGGACAATGCTCAACCCCGAAATCCTAGCCAAAGATCACCAACCAGCACGTACCTGTGTGTGTCCCAAATGATAGTGAGCAATTGTAAAGCTTGAGTGATCAAACTCTCAATTCTCCCCGACTGTCTTCCCTCATTTCTCTTTAGCGTCGAACGCGTCTGTCATCGCGAACCAATGATGACTGCCCCCAGGCTGCCCCAACGGGCCGGGAAGTTAACGAGAAACTCGCGGCCCGACTGATGTAACCAGTCAAAATCATTGGATAAGCGTCAATAATTGCGCTGCGTGCATCCAGGTTTGTGAGAAGCGTGAATTCACCAAAAAGTTGGCGAACCGTATCGTCTGTTAGTCTACAACTCTGCCGATGTGGCAGAGAGTTCAGCTGCGGGGCCGAACCTGGAGCTTGTTTGGTTAAGTTGGCCATGTGTGTAATCTCGGTCTTTCGGGGCCTCGCCCGAGATATCGGATTTGGTTTTCCAGGGAGTTCGAGCAGAGCGGAGAAAATCAAATGCCCGGCTCCTATCAGCTGCAATAGGATAGTTTATGGTTCCAGCCCCTCATATCGCCTCCGTATGCCGACGAATCTTAATCGCGTCTTGCTTTCCATAGGTTCAGATAACATTTAAAATTCTCCGAGGCCAATCATGCCCACATTTCTCGACAGCATCTCGGTGATTGAGGGTCGGGTCGCTTATTGATTCACATTGACCTACCTTGCTCGCAGGGTAACTGTGTTGCAAATGCAAGACCAACTAACTGAACCATCGGACCGGTAATACGTCAAGCTGCGACCAGTGATCTTGCAGCATACAGCCTCGCGAACTACAGCTTGCAAAAGGTGTCACGACAAGTGACTGTACTATGTACTAGCCACCGTCAGTCCTGGGTCTAGGGAACGGATGGCTGTATCAGTCACACAACCGCACCTAGAAGCGTAGAATGGTTAATGCGCAAGATCCTGGCACGAATGGTAGTATAGCTAGTATCGTACAGCTTGACCGTAGTTGGTGAAGTAGCTGCAGCACTCCCTTCTCACCTTGCCAAAAGGCGTCTTTCCTCCCCCGGTCTCCATGTCATCAACATTACGGCACTCTAGAAACGACTTCATGGCCTCAGAATGCCACCACCACTAGACGTGACCAGAAATTACGTAGGGCATGGTGTTGACACCATAAACGCTCACATCTCCAACCGAACCATAGCCAACTCGGTGTCTTATCTCCTTCCCATCCTCGAAATTCTTCCTGCAGATTTCACTTTCTTAGATGTTGGATGCGTATGTACACCGAAAGACCCCATGCTCGTCTTCTTTATGCTTACCAATGTGCCTCGCAATCTCTTCCTCCGCAGGGCCCCGCCAGCATCACAATTGACATTGCCAAGCGCTACCCCTCGGCGACCATCCTGGGCGTTGACGGCAGCCCGGCCGTAATCAGCCAGGCCCGCGACGCCGCCCAGAAGGCCAATGTTCACAACATTCGCTTCGCCGTCGGGGATGCCTTAGACCTGGCTCCTACGGCCAGCGATCCAGGCTTCGAACTAATCAAGGGATCATGTGACGTTGGTGAGAGCAACCAGAGAATAATCAATGATAAGAAATGAAGAAGACCGCTGCTGCCATGAATATGATGAGCTGATCAGGCAACACCGCCATGTGATTAGCCCATACGCACAACGTCGTGATGCATACAACCGACGCACCTCGAGCTCTGGTGGAATTACGCTCAGCGGTTAGGACCGGCGGCTTCGTGTGCTGTAAAGAGGCTGACAGGGCGTGTCTTATGATGTGGCCAGAAAACACAGCGGTAGGCTTCTCCGGCCAGTCACTGTCCTGAGAGCCTCACAGCTCACACCTCACCTTGATTGTACTAGATACGCCGTACCTACGCTGTAATTAGCGCAATTATGGAGGCTAAGGGGTGCGATCCGTACGTTGGGAAGAAGCTCAAGACATACGCAATGGCGGCGGTAAGAAGTCCCCATTCTCCCCTCCCTCTCTATTTGCAGAGAGGAGACCGGTCAAGTGTTCACACATGATCTTATTCCAGTGTCTGACTCAGCTTAGGGGTTTTCAAGCAATGATATCAGGGTAGGCCAGGCGCCCTGGGTCGTGTCTTCACGCGAGGAGCGTGAGAATTGGGGTGGCTTAGTCGCTCGCACCAGCGCCGATCCGGAAGCTCGTGCCCGGATTGAACACGAGGCACGTTGCATCGGACATGAAATAAATCTTGAAGAGCTCCACAAGGAATGGAAAGATTGGATAGATGACGACACGGCTTGCGCCTCAATAAGTGACATTTACGTGGTCTGTAGCAAGCAGTAGGATCTGAAGCAATACGATCTCAGCCATATAGGGCCACCTGTGGAAAGGCTGGATGAGAGAAAGATTTCGCAGAAACGGTCCTGCGAAAAGAAACGGCTCGCGGTTTCTTGCCAGATGGTGAAATATGACACGAACAACGCAACAAACTGTACTTTGAGTACTTTCCTGGTGACTGCAACGTAGTAGTATTGAACTATTTATACCTAGTACGTAGGCTTTAATACAACACTTTGTATTCACCCGACTTTCTGTCTCAGGACGGTCGTTTAAATGCGTGACATGACATCTGCCACGGTCTCACAAGTCCCGGATGCAATCGCCTGGAAGATGCGAGCGTAAGTGTCGGCCATTGCCTGTACGCTTTCCTCAGTAAACCATAGTCTCTTGAACGTAAAGTTTGCCTTTACGTGTTCCCCATCGGCCTCGGGTACCACGATCAGCGAGATGAATAACTACATCACAGAAACACACGCACACAAGTCAGCACGGCACAAGTTAAAGACTGTACATTCTGACACACATATGAGCCATTCCAAATAAAGGAAAAGAAGAGGCGAAGCGGAGGGTGAAAACCAATTTCATCGCACAACATACTTCTTGGATGAGGTTACTGACGACACCACGATACGACAGCTCTAGCCCCTCTGGGATGTCTATCCGGCGGTCGTTGAAACGCACATTTGTCACAGGGAGCACACCATAGAGATCACTATTATCATATCCAAGGGCGCGGGCGACGTCTTTTGGGCGGTAGATCAGGTGTCTCCTATGGGCCAGGTCGTCGGCGTGGAGGCGCTGTATCAAGTCGGCCACGCGAGCCCTCGGGACCACCTTGATCCTGGCGTAGAAGTAGGTGATCATCATGCCAAGAATTTTATCGATGTCTGGAATGTCGCGGTCGCGGTCCGAGACGAGGTAGGAGATGCACACCTCTTCATGGCCAGTGTATTTTGACAGGGTCAGGGCATAGGCGAGACTGAGCAACCTGGAGGGTAAGACGCAGTACTTACGGCAAAACGAGGCGGCTGGCCCTGCGATAGCTAACCGAGATGAGGTCCTGCCGAGGTTCGTGACACAGGTAAGCTCCTTTCCGTCGGGATCCGAGTAGACGGTCGGTGAAGACAGGTCCAGGGTGGGGCGCCGGTCGACGACGCCGAGATGATGGGGCCGAATCCTGCACGGCTCGGCGCCGGTGAGATAGCGGATCCAGTATCGGGTGCCGGACTCCACTGCGGCCTGGCCACGACGGGTCGTCAGGCCGAGATCGTGAACATACAGTTCGAAGCCGGGCGCCGGGCGGTCAGGCAGGGCGCCGCGGTAGAAGCGGTCAAAGTCGACCTGGAACACGCCCGTGGCCACAAAGTCGGCTGCAATGTGCCAGAGGACGACGTTCATGTACACGCGAGCCGAGGGCGTGACGAACAGGCGGACCGAGACGCAGGCGGCCGGTTTCATCCGGTACAGCATATTGGCCGTGTGTACCGCGCTGTATTGCTTAATATCGTGCTCGCTGTCCGAGTCGACGTGGACGACGGCGCAATCGACGGGCCATCGGCGCATCACGAGCTGCATAACCGTCTCTGGCGGCAACGGTCCTGAGCGGGAAGACGTCACACCCAGATCGGCAAGGGGCACGAAGCATGTGCGAAAAATGGCGTGGCGGTCGACGACGCCCTGCCACGCCTTTGCCGCCCTGTACGGATCTACAGGTTCCTGGCCCTCTCGGAAGAGAATCTCGTAGCAGGTGGTCATGATCCCCGGTCTCTCAGGCGCCGGGTTCGTTGAAAATAAGTGGTAGTAGTCTTCCTGCATCGGCGCACACGGCACTACATAGGCAATGTTGTCTGGGGACACGTCAGGAGGTAGCGTCAAACCATGTAGGCTCAGTGTGAAAGGCTCGTCATTATGGGCATGGGTGTCGGTCTCCTTGCCATTAGCGTCGGCGGCGCCCACTCTCTTCGTCTCGATCGAGCGTGCAAGTCTGCTAATGGTCGGCTCGGAAAGTATGTCAACGGTGAAGACTGGAAGGCCAGCCAGGCGACAGCGCCGAGCAGTCTTCATAGCACTGCACGAGTCGCCTCCGAGAGACAAGAACTCATCATCCAGGCCAATGGTAGCTGGAGAAAGTCTCGATTAGTCTGCGAAAGAGGCATGAGAGGTGTGCCTCACCCGACGGAGTGCCTAACTCCAAACTCCAGATGTCTCTCAACAGGGTTTCCATCTTTCTTAGAGGTGAAAAGAAAATCTTTGACGGGGATACGACCAGGGGAGCGGGCATGCGTTTCCGATATTATTGTTATAACGTACCCTCGGAGACTGGTCGGTCAGAACGAGGAGCCCCTCTCGGTGCCGAAGGGCGGGGGAAGAAAATTGCCTTTCTGCTAAGAAAGGATATGAAATACCCAATCCACAACATTGATTCCTTATATCCGTTAGCAGACCCTACTATTCCACGACTGACCGTATTAACACGTCCATTTCATACAACGACCACGATGGAGTCTTCTAAGATCGAGAAACATCCCCGTTCGCCGTTGTCATCGTTGTCGTTAGAAAAGGTTTTCGCACAGCCTGAGCCCGAGATGCATAATCTGCTTAAGCACAAGGCGGGGTCTAGCAGAGCCAGATGGTCTCCGAGACTATATATCGCGCTCTCCTTATCCGTCTTGCTTAACATAGCGCTCATCGCTGCTCTAGCAATCATTCTGCGGGGACGTTATGGGCCGAGCCGGCCTTCTTGGATGCCGCCAGAGAGGGTAGACAAGCACATATTTCTGTCCCAACCAATATTTGGCAAGGGGCCCAATGTCACAACCGAGGACAGATGGGCTATGTTAATGCCAAGTTAGTCGAGCCGTTCCCTATTCCTCCTAGATAAAATGGTTTCACAATGGAGAGCATTCCCCTTATTTCCTCCACAAAAGTCGAGAGATGCGTTTATTCTATGACCAGTCGCAAAACGTACAAAAGAAGCATAAACCTCGCGGGCATCTCTGATCCCATTACAGAAGGCAACGGCTGGATCAATGTGACGGTAGACGATGGCGTGCTGCCATATATGCCAGGGCTAGACCCTTCCTTGCCTGAGCAAAAGGCACGCCTGTCCGTCTTCCACCAACTGCATTGCCTGGTGAGTCGAAGCAAGTCGGGAACCATGAGCGCAGAATCGCTGACAAGTAACATCTACTTCCCAGTACATTGCCAGAGATGCCTTCGTCCACGCGCGGGACGGACATCTGGAAAGGGTCCATGTGGACCACCTTTCTGACTGCTGGGACTATCTGCGACAGGGCATCATGTGCGCGGGCGACGCGACACTCGAGTGGAAGCAGGCTAACGCGAGTGGCGGCGAAGGTTGGGGATATCAGCACATGTGTAAAGACTACGCGCTGCTATTCATGTTTGCCGAGCAGTATCGCGCCACGGAGGAGCACTCGCTCCATGGCGAGTATTGAGGGGACGGATTGCCAATTGCTGCTGCGTAGAGAAAATCGCCTGACGCCTTCCATCTAGGACGGTCTTGCAGTAGTCCAAAATCCTTGTTCTTTGCCACGAGATAGACGCTTAAGCTTCAGAATATCACAAACCAAACAAAAGATCTCTGACTTCTCTCTCCATTATTTGACACTACTAAGGTATGGGTGATGATGTGAATCATCATGATGGCCATCAGACATGTCTGCCTCTGATAGAGGTCAGCCCCTCTCCCCCCTCCCTCCCTCCCTGCATGGGTATTAGGCAGACACCAAAACAAGTGCAGTAATGACAACTCTCGAGATTGAGTTCGGCACCACCAGGCCTAAATATGCTCCCAATTAGCCGATGGGCCACCGTGCTAACAGTAAGCCCACTCCACTCCTTGGAGGACAGCATAAATCCACTCCATGTGCCAGCCAGCCCATCGTTCCACGGCCTATCCGACCAGCCCTCAGAGAAAGATCAGTCATTAGGAACCATATCATGTCGTCCGTGGAGTCCATCCGGAGATTAAGCTACAGCACGGAGGCCGACGACGAGACAACCCGGTTTCTGAACCAGATCCATGAACAAGCGGCTTGGGGACGCGAGAGGCGGCGCTTGAGATGGGCTGTGTGGCTATGGTTCACGACCACTTTGCTCTTCGCCGGGTTCTCGATCTGGCTCACTGCGAGGCGGCCATTTGCGAGCCATTTTGGATCGTTTGAGACGGGATACGCGACAGATTTTAGTAAGTCTTCGTCTCTTGACACCCTATTCGTTCTCGCGCTCTCTCTCCTGTCTTCCCTCTTTCTCTCTGTCTATCACGTTTGCATTCTGTGTTCTGTCATTTCATCTATTCCAGTCGATAGAATTTGTATATTTATCGCCCGGATGCCCATAGGCTTACTCGATTCCCAATCATAGAAGCAGCAACCGAGCACATCGAGCTACACGTTTCGACTTTCGAGGGGACCCCAGCCTTTATGGACGACGGGACTGAATACATACCTGGGCGAAAGGATGGAACGGAAAGACTAAAATTCACGGGCACGCCAAGCAGAGAAATCGACGTCAACTGGTACGATCTTCACTTGGGGGAGGGTAAGTACACCCATGACACAAGATCCTCCCGCAAAGCGTAAGTGCACGGTAACTAACGAAGATGCCTGGATGCGATGTAGGTCACTTTTTCATCGTCACCGAGGATGAGGCTCGAGAAGCATGGGGTCCGGAATATGTGAAATACTGGGAACCAAGAGCAGGAGGTTACGTTGCCACGTATGTGTAGCACATATTCCTTTGTCATCGACATCTGCGTCGAAGACGCAGTCTCGACTAATGTTTTCCTTCCCCTATAATCAGCGTCGAGGTCATGCACCTTATCCACTGTCTGGCAAGTGATACTCCCCATCCCCGACCGTGGCCCTTCTCCCCTATGTGATAATGGCCGCCGTTGACACGATATACCTAGGACCACATTCGTAAAGCCTTCCATCCCGAGGCCTACCACGACCCGAATCCCGTCCATGGAATCTTGCACAGGGACCATTGCATCGAGTCGCTGCTGCAGCTGCTGGTATGCACTGCCGATTTGACACCTATCCCATCCACCTATCGCCTCGGATTGGGGACAAATTACATTAACACGGACCGTCCACACACCTGCCGCAGCTTCCCCAAGATTGTAGACTTTGTGAAGAAAAGATTCAACGGCACTTTACGTGTGGAACCGTACGCTGAGACTGCCTGGAAGAATCAACCGTAGGCCTGCGGCTTGTGGTGCGATGGTTTGGCTGAAACGTTATTAACGGCCTCATAATGCCCTGCCACTAGCTCGAAAAGATAGCTTTTGTTCTATTTATGTTTCCTTTATCTAAGCTTTTAGTGTCTAAAAAGAGAAAATCATCACTAAAAAGCTTCAAAGCATCAATATATATCCTGCTATTTTCTTGCTATAACAGATAGAGAGTTTAGTAGGTGATATTAAGACTAGGACCTATATAGAGCAGCCTAGCTTTACTAACTTAATAATTACTAACCTAAAGATGAGATCTTTCTATAGATCACATTCTACTATATCTACTAGGCTATAATTAGTAAACTCTATTGAGTTTATAGGTGTTACTTCTTTTTTCTATTTAAGGTTTATGCAAGAAACTTTTATGAACATTATTGTCTTCAGCATTACAACCTAAGACACAGTATAAGTTTTTCCAGCGCTTCAGAATATGAACAGCACTTAGCCACACTAAAATTGAAAGTCGGAACCACCTTCTGGCATCTTGTATGTGCCGCCTAGGTTGACGAGATACGCAAGACTGTTGAACTCGGTGTCAATAGTTTTAATAGCCCAACCTCTCATAGGACCGGCGTTCTCGACGGTAAGGATCTGGATGCCTCTAACAGGCAACCTCGCCTCCCCAAAGGCAGCCGTCCACTTGAGCACGATCGTGTCGCACGTGACAACATCGACTGTCTGCAGCGTGACGGGCGTCGGGCGCCCACTCTGCCGCTCCAGAGCAGCCTTGAGCTCGTCTCGGTCGCGGTACGTCGGCGCGCCCAGCGGCTTGCCCGCCAGTAAATTCATGCCGTCGCAGCGGGCCACCACTTCGGGGGCCACAAGGCGGTCCGCCACCGCCGCCGAGTAATTGCGGATCAAGGCCTGGAAGTCGGTCGCCAATTGGTACCCGTCGTCCGGACTCAGGCAGGTGGGGGTGGAGGATGACAGCGACAGCGCTTGTTGATCCTGTTGCTGCAAGACGTCTTTCCACTTGAAACGGACGAAGAAACCCGCCGCCTTTGAGAATAACAGAACGAAGGAAAGTCGACGTGCCATGATAACCGTGTGAGCCGCCGCTCTCGGCAAATTTCTCGTCAATAGGGGTGGCCGAACAATGCTTCTCTCCTTCATAGGGCTACGAGGTAGTTCAAGTCACCGGAATAACGGCCCGATGTCAAGCCACCAAGGCAAGTTCTGCTGGGATAGAATATGTTCGTGGTGATTCCATTAGTGTTATGTTTTACCTCGCAAGAAAGGTTCATGACTATGTGGACATTATAGTTACATCCCGCATCTGTAGGAAACTTGCATGCATCACATAAGCACAAGTACTACTTTAATCGGTCTGATACCTGCTTAGTGGAGGTCCTTCGGAGTTGCAGTCCTCTCATAAGCAGATTGATGATGTCGCGGCTATCATAGGCAAAACTCAAACAACGAGGAAGATGTTAATGGGGAGGAGAAGGAGAAGCCCATTGACACATCATGCCACATATGGCAGTCAACCGCCGAGACATCGCGCAAGGTTGGTGTGTTTTGGGTTGCATCGGGCGATATCTTCCACCAACGTTAATTAATCTACCGGATTTTCTGCCTTCCTCGGTCTGGAACAAAACTCTGTAGATTTGCCTTTGTCTGGCCTGACAACGAACCTTTTGCCTTTCTGGTACAAAACGTTATGTGTTACTCGGGCCAGGAAGAAAAGCCATCCCATCGGCTGCCACAAGCCGCTAAAAGATACGTCACGAATATGACCCCAATTCTACCCCAGGTTCAGAGTGGACAATTGTTTTGATTCGGTTAGTTTAATTAGCTTTACTCCGCATGTTTCTGGCGTCGTGTGACAGCCAAGGGGATAGTTCGTACCATCAAAACCCCTGAACCTTCCCTATTGGAACGGAATTCCGTGAGCTGCTTAGTGATGAGTCGAACAGAACCTCTGGAATAATTAGCCGCAACCCCAAACAGGCTGTCGACCCATCCGCTGACGTACTCGCCTGGCCTTTCTTAACAGAAAGCATACAGTTATTGTGAATTCCATCTTTTCCACCGTAATATGGCCTCGGCCTTTACTGATTGCCTTCTCAGCTGCATCAAGCTTCTCAACTGGGGTAAGTATCGGCTAGTGTTGGAGCATCAGTTATCCAAAGCCGGGAGGCACGACCTATTAGTCAATCAACCCCGCCACGCTTTCCCCCTCTGTTGGTCTGTGGACACGCATGTGTGAGAGAAGGGATATCGCAGGGAGCTTCAATTCTCCAAAAGCCATGATGCTTGAGCAAAGACGACGTCGTGGCGCCTGTCTTTTGTGCCGCGAGAAAAAGACACGATGTCCGTACCTACCCACCTTCCTAGTATGTTTGAACCAAAGGCTGATGATAGGATGTATGGAAACGCAATGCAGGCGACAAGAAACAGCCGTGTATAACCTGCCAAGTGAGTCCGAGTTTTCTTGTCTTTTTTTGCCTCTTTGCTTTTCTTTCTGCTATTCTCGCCTGTAAGCACCAAGAGCTAACACGATGCACCCCGACCCCAGCGGACTGGGCAACAATGTTTCTATCCGGATTATGCGCCTCGCCCACGTCGAAGACCCGCGTCTCTGCGGTCCAACTTTCTCATGTATTCTCCCAACGAAAGCTGCCTCGACCTCGGATATGGGCCTCCGCTCGGAGCTGGTGCCGACTACCGTAATTTCGTCACGACTCACCCCCAGCTGCTGTCCGTTCCTCGCCCGCTTACTGCGGGCATCGCCGGTCCCAGGTCCGAGATACTACAACTGAACGGCTGCAACCGTGGCCTCCAGCAGGGCTACTACCCAGGCGAGTTATCGGACGGGCCTGACTGCCAATTTCCGTTGCCCTTCGCAGTTAGCGAAGCCAGCGCGGCCAATGCCCCGGACTCAAGCGATCTGCATATTGATGCCATTCAGGAGGAACAAGCCACTCCATGGGGCAACTCTAAGCCAATCGAGAGGGCCAACTCCGCCCTCAGCTCTGCCGGTTCGTTGGATGACAACATGGAATGGGCCGTCGACTTGGGCTGGATAACCTCCGAAGCTGGAACCCCCTCTCAGTTCCTCGAATCGTCCGTCACGACCGTCGTCGACGACTTGGAAAAGCCAATTAGTTACAAGGCGGCCTCTCAGATAGTTTCCCCTGCGAATATACAGCAGCCGACTGACATCGTCCTCGCCAACGACACAAAATCTGAGTCTAGCGCAGGTGCCACGGCACCGCTGTCGCCGTCTTCCCCGGGCAGGCCTAGAATAAGCGCATCTTCACAGTCTTTCTACGGGCTGCGCGACGCTGTCTGCCGCTTGCTCGGCAACAATCAACAAGATATTGCTCGTGCTCTGTCCGTCTCTGAAGATAAGACGCCAAACGCTCCCAGGACCGCGAACCCAGTGCCGGCTGGCGAATCGGATTCATATGACGGCTCTTGGTGGATGCTCGAAAGTGACGTGACTTTACAAGCGTATATTGCAGGTTAGTAACTATGAGTCCCAAAAGGGAAAGGGAAATAAAAACGAAAGTGAAAATTCTTTGTGGACCACGTTCTTTTTTAGTATTAGTTGAAGCCGAGTTCAGGCGCTGACATATAACACATCACAGCCTTTAGCGACTATTTCTATAGGTCCGTCTGGTCTCTTCCGTCGCTATGACGTGGCAGTGTGACTATGTGACGCGCGTGCTGACGGTCAATGTTCCCAGTTTCATTCCCAAGGCCAACATCGAGGCCCGGCTCAAAGAGGCTCGTCTCCCGGACGCAAGCCATCTCGTCCGTGGTTTCGCAAGCGCTGTCATCGCCCTTGGAGCATACTACCACCGACAACACGAATTCGCCGTTGTTGCCAATCGCAGTACCCAGGAACAGAAGCAGAAAAGGCGTTCCTTTTGCTCACACAACGCCGATGGCGGACATCTCGAAGATGCCCGGGTGTCGCGGCGTCTACGTGCCGCTCTTGCATTCCGCGGATGTGTGCGGGGTTTGCCTAGTCAGCTGCTGAAACTTCAGGTTGGTTTCCACCGGTAGGTCCTGGAAGAGATGGAAAGGGAAGAGGTCTTGTGGAGAACGTGAGATGGTCATAGTTGATGAGTCCCTGAGCTGACCTTTTATTCCATCAACTTTAGGTGTCATTGCTCATGGTCAGTTAACTCTGCTGGGCCCCTGTTTGCTCACGTTTCTCGCGCACTACTATCCTCCCATGCTGACAATTCCCCGCAACCTACAGGCCTCTATTGCCAGCGAGTGCGATATACCATCTCTTGTCACCGAAAATGTGGCAATCGCCGCCATGCACGTTCGCGAACTGGACTTGGCACAGATTGATGCTGTTGATGACGAGTCTGTGCTCAGTTGGGCTTACTCGTACGTGCTGGACGTCTCTTACGCTCTTCATCGAGGAGCACCTCCGGTAAGCCAGCCTACTGTTGATTCGAACGCCCCTCATACGCATTCATAACAAAGAAAACCATGTCTCCCCGTGCGTTTCACGGCGAGAAACTTCTGGGGAGGCAGAACTTCAAAGACAGCTGATATCTGGGCAAAAGTATTGACTACGTTTCAGACGCTCGACTGCGATTGGATAGACGGTTCGGATCCTCTGAGCCACAGCTCCGAAGGGGACCTGTTAGGTATACGCTCTCTAGCGGCTGTGATGCACCGTTGTTTGCGGAGGCAGTTCAGTCCCCGGGCGTTTCACACGTACTCTTCGGCGACGGTGATTCCTGGCGGCGGCAGATGGCAAAGCCATCAGAAGTCCCAGGAACAGTTGCGATACTGGGTCGAGCTCTTCCCCGATTTGAACTTGCGGATTACCCCAGGGAACAACGGCTGTCTGCCCACCAGCACCGCACGTATGGCCTTCTGCATGTATCACCGCGCTGTCTTCCTAACGCATTGCCCGTGGATTGTTACTGCTGCTGATTTTCACGCTGAGCCCGTCCCCGAGCATGGAGGGATTGGGGATCAAGATGCCCTTGGACACGGGTGCTGCATTCGGGCGTGTCTGGAATCGGCCCAGCAAGTCATTGATGCCATCCCTTGCTTTTTTTCCCAGTCGTCATGCGGCACAAGGCTCGAGAGGTATGCGAAGAGACCAAAATTCATAGACCTTCTTAGAAGATGAGCTGACGCATAGGTTCGATTCAAAAGGCAGACAGTAGAGAGCCTGGTGTTAACTAGCTTATTCCTCATCATCTATTGCAAGGTAGATGGGGAAGTTCCCGGGGAGCATAGACGAAAGGCGAATGCACTGGCCGGGCTATGCCACGGATCCTTAGCCCGTATAAGTCTTGACGAGAGCGATGCCAACAGCGACGGGGATGGCGATAGCGTCGACAACAGTCACGGCCATAGCGGTCATCACCCGAGCCTTGAGCGATTTAGCTTGCTCGTGTCGATCGCCGATCGCTGTGATCCCACGTAGTGAGAAGAGATCATGTAAGCCAAAATGATCAAGAATCATTGAACAAAGCCCGAATTCTATTGGATCTGCTCAAGATGATCTGACTTCTAAGTACCAAACCTGCGTCACAATCGTATACCAATCTCTATTCAGATGAAACAAAAAACACCTCGCTATGCAATCCGACTTCCGAACCTCTTCGCAGCTGCGGCTCTTAAGCCGGTGTCGTGGTGTTGCTCGGAGCCGCACCACCGCTGCTGCCACCTGATCCACTCAAAGAAGGGCTGTTCTCGGTATCGATTCCGATCGTAATGTAGCCAACCATGCCGTTGCGAATATCAACTCCATCCAACGGAACGATGTCGATGACAGGGTTGTAGCCGTTCGCGAATCCCTCAGAGTAGACAGAGTCGACGTCGTTGGTAGTGCGGTTGATCTCGGTGTGCGACACATAGGGCTCCAGGGCCATGATCTCCTGGGAAACCGTCTCGTTGAAGTACAGTTGACCAATTGAGTTGGTGTTTCCCGTCTTGACGGTGCCGTTGCTGGTGACGACCCAATCGGTGAAAACTAGTAAAGCATTGTTAGCACGAATCTCGACGTCCATTTCTTTCTGACTTACCTTGCGCGTGAATGTGAATAGAGCGCTGAATGTAAAAGCCAGGGAAAATCGTCTTCATCTCCAGAATACCATCGTCGTTGGTGGGCCACATTCCACGCAGCCATGTAGTGTCATCGGTATGCAAATCCGTAGTACCAATTTCGAAATCGGTGACATTCAGTGACTCAAGGAGCTCACGGAAATCCGTGTTAGGATCACGGCCCGTGAAACTCGAGTAGCTTCCCGTGGCGTTGCAGTGCCAAAACGCAACAAGCGCGTTTGGAAGAGGCTCGCAAGTTGCCATATCAATGACACCGACGTCAAGGGTAAGAGGAACTCCGACCTGGTCTTCGGTCATATCCTGACGCAGGGTCTCTGACCGGGGCCAGTAGTAAGGTCCGGCGGTGACATCGGGCGCGAGGACGCAGGTGTTGTTCTGAAGATCTTCGTAGTACGGAGCCTCGGTCACGATCGTGACGCTGCTGTTGCCGGACCTGCGCTCGAGGTTGGCGGCTTCTTGGCGCTTTTGGAATCGCTTCTGCTTGAAGGCCGCGGACCCAGCAGCACAACGCTTGGAAAGGTTGGCGTGGCGCTTGACCACACCAGGAGCGACCTCCTTGTGGGCGACAACGGCGGAGGCCAGGAGGCCAATGGACGCGAGCGAGTGCAGTTTCATCTTGGAGGAAGATAAAGAGTGACGGAAAGAGTGTGATCGCCGTTGTTTGAAAAGATTGGATGACGAGGGTAGAGATGTTTACAAAACAACTACCCCCGCCTCTATTTGTATCAAGCTCCTTTTCATTTCTTGATCGCTGCTTTTCCCCTTTCACAACAGGCTCACTGGCCGCGGATCGCCCTTCGGGGTGAAAATTCCCATTGCGCCCCTTTCCCTTGGGCGACGCGGTCTTCTCCATATTCCCCAGTCTCCACGCATCAGTGTCCAATGCCTCTTCCTCTATCGGAACTACCTATACGCGTCACCAAGAGCAACCCTTGGGAGGTTGAAAGATTCATAGCCTAGTCCAGAACACCTAACTCCCGTACCAACAAATCAAAGTCGATCTAATTCACCCCGGTACGTAAGCAAAGAGGGATGGTTGGTTAATCCAAGGAAAACCTCCATTATCAAAACCAATGAAACAACCCGAATACAGGCCCCTCAATATCTAGCAAGCCCTATCCAATATTGTTTTGACGTCAGGTTCGTGGAAGCTGACGAGGCTGTCCCTACAACCCCACTGAAATCGGGATGTGGGCGCTCGGAACCCAAGTTCAACAACACCACCGCCCCCGTCGTGTCGATCTTCGTAGACATGACTGAGAAGCCGCCGAAAATTCCCATATTCAGTGTGACATCGGCTGGGAAATGAACAGGCACAAGCGAAGGCGATGGGATTTTGCGCTCCCTTAAAAGGTGCACCAAGAGTGCTTTATTCACGTCGTTCGGCATTGCCGCTGAGCCGACGGTTCGTGCTGCAATGTTGATGGAAGCCTACGAGGTAACACTCATTGACAACCGCAGAATTTCACTGCATTCATCGATCAATTAGCCTTTAATGAGGGCTTGCAGTCATTCAATGGATGTTACCCGGAAGGCTATTCTTAGGCCCGTCCCTTTTGCGGGGGCTTAATTATGCGGAGGCCCCTGTGCATTTCGATCTGGCGACGCGTGTCTATCCGAATACTCATACTCGGATTCGTATCGATGTCTACCAAGCCTCGCGGAAATCGTCCGCCGCGGTCTGCAACCCTTGTATCTGATTAACAGTTCATACAGATGATTCCTTGTGTTCGAAGGAAAGGATTCTTCAGTAATGGCAGTCTCAGTGCGTTGCAATACCTTTCGCCTGAGGATTTGTCCTTCTAAGTATGAGAACACAAGCAATAATGCCGAAGCAGAGAGCGCCATAAATTTCATCGTTCGCATTTTACCAAGACTCCGTAGCCCCGACTCAAGTAAATACATGCTCACGGTGTGCTCCGGCCCCACCGGGTGCAAGCTCCGGGCGGGGGGGTTGAGTGGCTCGGCGTCGTGGCTTCCGCCACATCCCGGAAAACGACTTGAGTTCGGATTCTTATCCATGTCAAAATATGCGAGACAGATAAATTGAGAAACCTATACTGCCAAAGAGCGTCGCTTTCTTGGCAGGCACTGAGATTTTGACAGCATCACTTCTATCGATGGCTTAGTTTTGGCTTGCGTCGGAATTAAGGTGAAGGTCAACTGAAGATGGAATATGAAGGAAGAAAGAATCAAAATAATCTGTGTGTTGAATTTGTCAAGTTCCCAGGTGAAGCCAGAGGCTTCAGGCGGCATTTCTCGTGACAGGTCTTGACAAGGTCGGCAATACGGCTCAAGTGCGGAATTCTCACGTGTCGCGAGTCTACAAGCAACGTACACTTTGTCGTCAGACTTATCAGTATCGACAGTATCGATAAAAACGGGGAGCATGCAACAACTCTGATCACATTCCGAGCATTGTTGATGATGTACAAACCAATGGGTGACGTACAAATGGCCTAGCAATATTTCCAATACGCTGCTCGATCCCGTCTGATTCCTACCAAGCAATTGGCCGCAGGACTACATGATCCATATAAAGATAGTGACTTCTGGGCAGCTCCATCTTGACTATGTTGAAGAATGGAAAAGAGTGTCGACTCAGTATATTGTTCAAGTCGAGACTCGAATCTGCCCTGCATCAACTGCTGCACCCAGTAACACATGCCCATCAGTTCTCTCCAGCCGACCGACAATCATACGGCCACCTATCCGCGTTACTATGAGGGAACAGACCCTTCTCATGACACGAGTATTGGCTCAGTAGTCAAGGCTTTGTCTAAGAAATCAACCCAGAGTTCAATGATCACGGTTATAGAGTGACTCCTGGAGCAACCAAGTACAACTACAATGACAATCCCGTAGGTTCTCCTTGATGGATGATTTCTTCGGAATGGCTCAATACATTGTAGTTATAATCAGACCATTTGAATGATTACGACATGAACTCAAGGATTCGGGGTTTTACGAGCGCTGCTCACAACTCCCGGAAAGATCTTTGGTCATCAATAGATGGTATATCAGGACCATGAGGTAACAAGATTACAGCAACCCCAGATTACAACGACCGAACATCTTCGTTATCAATGTCGGCACCAACAACGCCAAAGAAAACAACCAAGTCAACTGTGTTTATCAGCTTATGGGTGGCATCATTGACTACGCATAACGTGCTGATGGGATGAGCCAGATTTGCGTGATGCTGTGAAGTCCAGTGCAAACGAACCGATCTGTCGGCAGCTAAAGGCCCCTTGTTCAAATTGGAGCTTCCGCTCTTTGCACCCATACCTGAATCTGACACGAACCCCGATCTAGATTGGGAGGACGTCGAGTGTACAAATCCAGCCGTTTCTGACGCCGAGAAGCCTACGACAGAAACATGCGAATCTGTCAAGACCAAGGTGTCTTGAAATGAAGCCATTGAGAACTATGCGAATGACCGAAGTATTGACGGAGTAGTCTTTCCAGCTCAGGTGAGTATTTGAATTTGTGTCTACGACAGATCTCATGATTCTGGGGGAAGCTGAACATTGCGTCAATTTGAAGATTAGCAATTTTCTCTTATGACCCGGAACAGGTCAGCTGCCACCGAATTGCACCACAAAACAAATAGGCGGTGTTGGACCTTGTCACGACATTGTTGACGGGCCAGCGGGCTGCCTCATACTGAACCCATTTTCCACCTTCAAAATATCAGTAGAGCCTCACAAAGCTCCCTAGAGAGCTCACAATTGACATCTTGTTTTAGACTATTTGATGCTCCCGCGCAGCTCTATGGGAAGAGGCACACGGTTACACTGCGCCAGCTTCTGTCTTTCTCGTGTGTTAGGGACTTGGGTTTTGCTGAGATTCTTGATATCTTGAGCAATGTCATCGACTCTATTTTGAACAAGGGTGACACGAGTCGTCGATTAACCATGTCGAAGGGCTTCGCAACGGTAACAAATCCCAATCTATCAATGTTCGTCAATATCTCATGAACGAACCAGCTCGAAAAAACGGTCAACGTGGTCAAAGACTTCGCCAACGATATACTTAGCAGGACCATCACCAATGTCAAGACCTTGATTTAATAGTAAGTCGTCATTAATGGTTGATTTACTTGGAAACAATATGTTCAACATCTTCGAGACCATGAGAAAAACTTTTTGTTGGGCGATGTTGGCACATTCACTTGGCAAATTCACTCGGAGATTGGATCATCCTGGATGCTGAGCAAATGTGGTCAAACAGAGTAGAAAGATTTACGGCTTACATGTTTGGCGGCATGATCGGCTTCAATAACGGAGCTAATTCTGTTACAACTGATGCGATATCCTGGGAATGGTGTAAGCAAGTACATAACTCGCACATGAGTTGCGCTTATGATCGACTTGAGGTTATTCACGTCTGCAGTGACTTGTACGGAAACACCCCGGGTGGCCTGTCAAAAGGAGACATCATCACAGGGCACGTCGTGATAGCATGCAAGGGCAGACGGATCGAGATGAGGTACATAAAATTGCAAGAATGGACTAGGGCGTTCACAACCTTCAAAGCCAATGGTGATAGGAACAGGGCCTGTCCCTTGTCGTCCTGGTACGCCCCTGACGATCAAGCCAAAGCCAACGTCACGGTGGTTGTATACACCAATGCAAGGGCACCTGGAGTCTAAAGTCTGTTCATATGCGACTACTGAGAGGTATGAATGAATCACTGGGGTGTTCGTAACAAGCGTAAGAAGAAGCCATCTGACCTACCTTACGCTTTCCCCTGCAGTCGTGTCGAAGGCTAGGCTAGTCTAAATCTTGTCGGAACGGCCGAGCAAGGATAGTTCGAGAAGACAGACGAAACACATTGACGCACGAATAGTTCATTGGCTATGTTGGGCGGAAGCAAGAGCTGCAGCTGAGAAGAATGCTTTGATGGAGCTGAGCTTAGTGCGAGAAGATCTGAGATCCATTTATGCTCAGGAGGCTTCCCATAATACATCAGAGTCAATGACTTGTCCAAATCAAAGGGATTGATCATGCCATAACATGCGGTTAACAAAGATACGAGGAAAAGCGTAGAATAATTGAATTTAACAACGTGGTTTGCTGTTCTATCATTTTAAATCCGAGGCCGATGAGCCGAATGCCTCCTCGGCGGCTGGTGCCGAGGCCGAGTCAGGTGTGTCCCCCAAACCACCACGCCCTTCAGTGGCCCTGAGCATCAGAACAAACCAATCTGTGATCTGTGATTGAGGATTACGGCAAGTCCTTCCAATGATTGCGCATGCGCTACAACTTTGGCTCATTTTCTGGGATTCAGATAGACATTCAGGTCACCCTTGAGCCACAATGTGTAAACCTCTTCCTCGTCCTGCCACTTCTTCGAGTCTTCTGCAATCGTGAGATCGAAGTTCCATAGAACTCTAGCCAAGATGATCCTCATTTCAACGTAGGCCAGGCTTGTAAAGTTAGCTCGGTAACTAGATGCTTTGGCCAAGAAGTCGCAACTAAAATAGACCATAGATCCGGGGTGGAGCTTACTTCTTTCCAATACAGTTCCGCGGTCCGAACGAGAACGGTTGAAGCGCATCCTTGTTATCATTGACGAAGCGCTTGTCGCCAAGCCACCGCTCGGGGATGAAC